TAACTAACTTTGTAAAATGCTATCAATTCCTTCTTTTCTTGTTGAAATTCTTCATCGGCTTGTCGATCAATACGTTCATGAATTGCCTCCAATTCATTTTGCTTCATTTGTATTTTTTCTTTTCTTTCTCTCTTTCTTTTCTCTTTCTAAAGACTTCTATTATTGCAAAGTTTTTTTTTTTTTTTACTTGAACGAACAATTATAGTCTACTAATTTGTTTAGTAATTTTAACTAAATACGTTTATTTAGTCAAAAAATGTTTTTACAGGTATAAGCGAAAGTTGTAATTCCAATTAATCTTGTCCTGTTTATGAGGATTGAAACAATTGTAATGATTACTTCTCATGCTTTATTATCTGTTGAAGAGCTACTTAGAAAATGGGAATTAATACGAAGACATTCGGTACTTTTAAACTTGAAGTTTCAAGAAGTATATTAAATATCAAATTTGACGGACATTTTGGATTAATTTGGAATCGGAAGAATTTGTTATTTGAGTGGTTCGTGTACTTGATGGATTTGTATGGTCTGACATTTCATTCAATTTTCTGGAAGATGTTTTTAGAGATGTTTGTTGACGTTGTTGTTGTTGTTGTGATTGTTGTTGTCGTTGCTCAAACTCTTCCTGCTTTTGTTTTATTCGCTTTTTTTCTTTTATGTAATAGTAGTATGTTCCGAATACGATCACTATAGTAACAGTGATTACTGTAACGACTGATATAATAAGCCACTTGATCCTTGATCTCGTATTATCCTTCTTTTTACCTGTAGTAGTAGTAGCTAAATGATGAAATAGAGAATACCTGCTAGCTGTAAGATCATTGTAAGTTTTAAAAATTTTTTAAAGAAATTTCATCGGTTCCGTTTGAAATAATCCAAGAATTGATTAACAGAGCAGCATTGAGGCTGTGGAGTGACCACTGTTCTAGTGATCTTTTCTGAAAAAGTGACTCCCGTGCCATCTGATTTACTCTTAATCATATAATAAATAAATTGTGAAAAAAATCAATTATTGCATTGCACAGAATGATTTTCGTATGATATATTTCAATAGCTACTTGTAACTTTCAAAAAAGAACAAACACTCGCCGTAATCTTTGACTAAAACGATTAATAAAAAGTAATTTAGTAACACCATAAATTACCGATGTGCTCATTTAATATTATTAAAATTAGACACACTATTATATTGCACTGTCACATAGAACTAATATTAGCAATAAAAACAAGTGCAATTGGAACAAAGACACACATATCCGTGCATATTTAATATAATTAAAAATAATTACTTTCATTACAATCGATTAAAAGCCACTTCACAGTTTCTTCACTTACGTCACCAGCGATACTTACTTCACACAATTCATAAGGCTGCAATTATATTAATCAAATTTTACACCAGCTGCCCAATTTACATCTTTTTTCTTACCATTTGAAGCATATCTTTTTCATAATCTTCAGTAGCATTGATGACCTTCATATGCAGTTCTTCTGGGATCGTTTTAGCATATTGAACAATGTGCATTAGTTGTTTATCGCACTCTACACTTGGACTCAAAATTGTCAAATGATTATTCTCTGTGTGGAAATATGCTTCTTTTGATATACATTCCTCTACATCTTTCTCATTAAATGCCTATAATTATCAAAAAATTTTTTGACGTTTTGAATTGATTTCGATTAGATTTAAGATGCTAAATTACTAAAATCAAGGGATTTTTGTTTTTTATCCTATGCTTTCTTTTCTGATTGAAACAATTGTAATGATTATTTCTCATGCTTTATTTTAAAAAAATTTGCAAAATTACAAATATAGTTCTTATTGTAAACATTTTTACGAATATCTTTCCGCAAAATATTGCCTTGCTGAACCAATTGGGAATAACACCGAATTATTTTACGGATTAGATATAAAGATATTCTTTATTCATACTAGCAAAACATTCGTGATTATAGTATTTTCAGGTGCAAAGTTTGCTTTACTTGGATGATCAGATTCTTTCGGGCCATAAATCATTCTCGAAAAACTTACAGTTATTCGAACTCCGAGTCGGTGATGAGCATCAGCGAAAACGGCTATCATGAAAATTTGAAACAACCGCATGGAAATGTACGAAAAACTAAAAGCATTCGAATCGCCTACCGCAATTATCTTCTCATGAATTATTTCGTAATAACTTTTTTGCACTATCAAACATATTACTTTTGGAAACAGTTACCAATATTAGTTGCAAAACGTTAGGCCATTATGCTGCCATAATTTTGCAAAGTTTTAAAAAATTTAGTTTTTCTATTATGCTTTAATATGAAACTTACTTCCATAGATGGAACTAATGAATTACAGAACAAGTTTGTACATTAATCCAATTCTTATACAAATTCGACTGCTTTCATTGCAATTTCTATTGATTTGGATTATAAATACTATAAATTCTGTTTTGCTAAGTATTTTTCACTTTTCATTCCTGCTACATCTTAAATTCGAACAACATCAACTATATCAAAAGTAAGATAAAGCTATGTCAGAGAGCTGATGAAATTTCAGCAAGGTAGTCTATCCATTCCAAAATATATCTACTTCGCTCTATTTCCCGGTTATCGAAGAACAAGAGCTAACAATATAATACTTTATGGAATAGTATTCTGAAAGTGATGCAAATAAAAAACTACGAATAAGATGACAAGATCAACTTTTTCAAGAATTTACTGAATTCAAAAATAATAATTCTACCCTTCCCAGAATACCATGATTCAGATTGTCCAGTGATTGACGCTGAAACTAAAACAAATGCTCCAAAATATATGTAATATCATATCATATCCTCTGAATTCTGATTGTCACGTTTAGATACGCATGCTATAAACGTGCGATTGTTTAACTTATAAGGTGAATAAAGTAAGCTAACAACAATCAAAATGAGTTGATAACAATAAATAATTTGCAAACATTCAAAATCTTTTAATACATTTGCAAACAGATTCCCATAATCAATAGGGAAAATTTGGAATTTGCTGGAGAATTTTTTACTACAACTTTGCTTTGGGATTGAAGAATTTTTTTGAAATTTGGATCATCTATTTGAAATCTCAGTGCAGTTCATTTCACTATTCCGTAGGAAAGAATGATTGTGCAAGAAACGATTGATAAAACACCAAACGTGTCGTCTCATTTCAATTTCACTCTTGACATTGAAAATAATAATTGTGGCGCTGTTGTAGTATCCATCTCCCTTGAGTCCTTTCCGGTAATCGAAGTACGGTGCATACAAAGAACTATCATTGTCTTTTCCAAAGTAATATTGTTTTTTAAAATAATATGGAAAGCAAATCTATTTAAAATTTTCATAACGCAATACTACTGAGAAAAAAATCTCCAAGGTTTTTTTTAAAAAAAAAACAATATTAACTTGGAATGAAAAAAAATTTTCAATCTAAGGTTATGTGGAGCATTTTGAACACGTCATGAAATGAATGTTAGAACTTGTACTAGGACTGAAAAATCCTTCAAGTATTCTGCATATCCTATTGATTCAACTATAAATTGTATAAATTGCTCTATTACAAATTGCTCTATTATTTCCGTTTGCTCGGTTAATTACTTTTAAAAATGCGTTATTGCTGTATAATATCTATATATTTCATTGGTCTAAAAAACATTTTATATATATGTATATACATATTCATTAGCACATCCTACACGTTTATATTTTCCCTCCAAACAAAGTCCCATTTGAGATTTCAAATCTTTAAAATTACCCAAAATCTTATGATTTCCATAAGGCTTTCCTTGAGTTTGTTATTTTTGAAAAATGATTTAACTTTGACAAGAAATTAATAAATACATCATTCAACGAAGTGTCTGGGTCATTGTAACACATAAAGATCTTTTTATCCGGAAGATAACAAAGGTATATAAAAAAAAGATTGTAACTGTTCATTGACTTGAATAATCATTCAAGTCAATGAACAATCTATAAGCATTAAACTTTAAAAACCTTGTAATGAAAGTTTTTCGCTTTAAATTTAAGAGCCATGTAAAATATTGTTTCAGAAAGATGGTACTATTCTTAAACTTAATTTAATAAAGCTGAAATCAGTAGTTCAGTTAGAGAAGTCTGGATCAGCGAAAGAGATTGTACTAGGATGAAGAAAAGGCAATAATCAATTTTCAGTCTAGGCATATTCATATTTTGAGACAAAGGATGGCGATGAGGGACTGTGTTAAATCTTTTACGTTAAGTGATTGGGTGGGTGTTCATAAGTGGGTTGCCTTGGAATTTAGTGAATTTTTGGGGTTGTTTCGATGTGTTCGTGCAAATAATGAATTTTCAGAGCTGAAAAGGATGTCTTCTTCTGCCATCTGTATTCTCGATCTTAAAGGCAAAGTAAGTAAAGTGTTAAATTTCAGAATTTTTCGGATGCAATAAATTCATTCCGCTCACGTATTTAAATGACTGCATCTGAAAAATTCACAAATTAAATTGTCCTGGTATAATTAGTCTAATAAGCGCTTCTACACATATCTAGCATAGTTATCAAAAGTAAGAAAGAAGATACTGTTGCATGTTGGTTGGTAAGCCAGGTGGAGTAGTGCTTTCCTTGGAATATTGTATGCACATTTACAGTAGATTCTTTTTATCTCATTAATAACAGGCAATAGTATCAAGAAATTATCGAGGCGATATAGACATGGGTGTTATCGATAAGTTCATGCCGCTATTGTTGGAACGCGAAGAAGAAGGTCGACAAAGTCCAGCTCTCGAACATCCTGAAGCTACATTCATTTACATCAGGCATTCAAATCTTTACTGCAAGTTTTCTGATTCCCTTTGTTTTATTTCTTGCTGAGTCAATTGAAATATAAAATTTCTAACATTACGTAAATTTCTTGCCTATTGATGTTTCACTTTGCACTGTAGTAATAATAAAAAGTTAGATATTGTTGATTTGAATAATTCGATTTAATATTAATGTGGAATATATTAGTGTAAAAAGTATCCGTTTTCATTTGTTTGAAATTTTCACACACAACAGTTCTTGGCTTCAAAGATGTAAATTTATATTTTGATTTGATTAAATATTTCCAGATTTATGTTTGCTGGTTATGGCTATACGATCGCTCCACAAATTCCAAAAAAGATCTTTGCACTCAACATTATATTCCCATTCTTTCAGTTGTTTCGACATCACGTAAGAATGTAAATGTAGCACTGGTGCTTACATTTCTATACAAAATAGTGGAAGTATTCGGGGAATATTTAAAAGATGTTGAAGAAGAATCGATTCGTGATAATTTTGTAGTTATCTATGAACTGCTTGATGAAATGATGGATTTCGGCTATCCACAAACCACTGAAGGAAAAATTTTGCAGGAGTGAGTTTATTTTTTTTGTTTAATGTATGTTTATCAATAAAAGATCTAGAGATCTCTTGACGTGAGAATATTGCTCATCAACACCGAGTAATAAGTGATTGTTCATGCTTAGATTCATTACACAAGAAGGACACAAATTGGAAACTGCCCCTCGACCACCAATGGCTGTTACAAATGCTGTTTCGTGGCGTTCAGAAGGTCTCAAATATCGCAAGAATGAAGTGTTTTTAGATGTCATAGAATCTGTAAATTTACTGGTAAGTCCAAGTCACTGACTTCAATTAATTTCAAAAATGAAAAACCTGCAGTGTTTATTTTTTTCAGGATATATGAGCACAATAGTTTTTTTCTTACTTTCTGAACTTATTGCAGGATTAGAAGTTTCCTTTGTATTTGTTTCCAAAAGTTCTTTGCTTTGACTTCGGCTGTACTATTACAGGCAAATGCAAATGGTGTGGTACTGCAGAGCGAAATAGTTGGTTCAGTTAAGATGCGTGTCTATTTAACGGGTATGCCGGAATTACGACTAGGTCTTAACGACAAAGTTTTGTTTGAAAGCAGTGGAAATAAGTTTTTTCTTTCTTTACTTTGTGGAACGGGAACTTCATTGTCTCTAAGTGTACTTTCAATCTTTTCTCCTCCAAAATGTGTAATCAAAAATATTGATATTTCTTTTGAAATTTACAAGAAGACTTATTTTAACATTGATTAGTTAAGTGAATCATTCATGTTTTTTTCAGGGGGCAAGAACAGATCAGTAGAGTTGGAAGATGTAAAATTTCATCAGTGTGTTCGCTTATCTCGTTTTGAAAATGATCGAACAATCAGTTTTATACCACCAGATGGAGAATTCGAATTGATGAGTTATCGGTTAATGACTGTTGTCAAACCACTTATTTGGATGGAAGCAGTCGTTGAAAGGCACACTCATTCAAGAGTTGAATATATGATAAAGGCAAATGGTTATCACAGAATTTTTTTTAATTTGTTAATGGTATCTTTCCTAACCAATCGTCGTGGATTTTAAAACTATGATCAAGAAATTACTTTTGGTGTGTTGCAAGTCCATTTTTGATTCTTCTATTTAATTCAGTTGTAGCCGAAATAGTATACATATAATTTTCAAATGTTGTACAAATTATGCAGCATAGCTTTTCTATTTAAAAAAATTCGTTATTGTATTTTTTTTTGCCAATTTTATTGAACACCAGTCGCATCGTGCAGAATAATAATTTCAACCACGTGTAACGTTTATCAATTCTTTTAGGCGAAATCACAATTCAAACGACGCTCTACGGCAAATAATGTAGAGATTATCATCCCAGTGGCAAGTGATGCTGACTCACCCAAATTCAAAACCTCCATTGGTACAGTAAAGTATACACCGGAAAAAAATTCATTTATTTGGACAATTAAAAGTTTCCCAGGTTATGAAGCTTTCTAAGCAAGATCTCATTCATATATGAATGTGGACTATAGCTTAATATAGATTTTGTATCTTTCTTGTATATTATTAACTCTCAGTTGATTTATTATAAGTTGAAAGTAATATTTTCATCAGAATTAGCTTATAGGCAGGATAAATTAACCATAGTACTGAACAAAAAAAAAAAACATTTATTAATCCACTCAGCATCCAACCGAATTCCTTTACTTTTTTGATGCAGTGATGAAACAGTCTAACTAATTAACTGATATCGTAGGTGGAAAAGAATACTTAATGCGAGCACATTTTAACTTACCGTCGGTTCAGTGTGAAGACCGTGAGGGTCGTCCACCAATGAAAGTAAAATTTGAGATTCCTTATTTCACAACTTCTGGAATACAGGTACATTCCCTTTGGTAGTAACGATTTTGTCTAGCCGTGTTCATTACAGCAGTCTTTTTTGTATATTCGTCTTTTAAAAATTGTTTTCAGTCAGTGGGTATATTAATATTTTGTTGTTTTTATGGTCTGTACTGTGTAGTTGCTCCAAGTTCAATTTTGTTCTTAGTCAAGATTTTCGACTTTTTCCCATTTTCTCTTTGGTCTTAGTTTGAATTTAATGACTTTCCTTTAGTCTTGTAAAACCCTAGCAGTGTTGTTTTCGAAACCGAACTTTGCAAATTCTCTTTTTTTTATCAATAAATTTCGACGTATTTTGCAGGTGCGTTACCTTAAAATTATTGAAAAAAGTGGTTATCAAGCTTTGCCGTGGGTGCGCTACATTACACAAAATGGTGATTATCAACTGCGTATGATGTAATTGTTTCTCACACTAGACGTAGATATATGGAAGTTTGTCTAGAGCACTAGATAGATTGGAGAATTATGTACCGTTGTCCATTTTCTGAGATCAACAGCTATTTTACATTGTGATTCGACTTCCTACAGATGTTTCAAAGTTCTTTCCATTTCTCAAGACAATCTCACGTTTTCAAAGCTCCGTTGAAATTATTATACTTTTTTTAGCTTTCATTGCATGATTGGAGCTCTTCATCAGTTAGCTTTATTTTCAGTTACTTTTTCTTTCTGAATTTAATTGTATTCATGTAGATGAGAAAAAGCTGCTTTTTACGGCCATTTTGATACATTGTCATGCTGTTATTCTTGCACTTTTTTAAAAAAAATTTTTAAATGTCATTTTCATACTTGTTAAAAAACTCCTCTAAGTATTTGACGTCCTTCATGTAATCGATCATAATTGGTCATCTTGTTTTTGTCGACCCTGTTTTGTTTCTGTATTGAAATTAATGATTCCTGAATGTTTGTTTTGGTTCTCTCGAGTCCTTTTTTCTTTTTTGCTAGAAATTCTGTGATGAGCATTTTAAATACTCAAAATGTTTAGTCATCGTGCATATATATCCGATCGTAAGGGACGACTCGAATTTTAGATCATTATTATGTGTTTTATTTTCCGATTCAAACTTCCGCATTGAAAATACAGAGGATTGTAGAAGTGATGATACTGCGGATTACTCTTTTTAAACTTCGATGTACGTTGTTATCGTTCACTGTGGATCTCTTCTGACCAAAATGTTTTCTTTGTTCTCTTTTTTCAACGCTATTTCATTGGAATGTTTAGTTTATCTTCTGAATTTTGTTCTTCATATTGCATTTTTGTTTTATTACATTGTCCACTTTATAGTTTGTTTTATAAATTTCGTGTATGATGCATTTTTACTATTTTCTTGCATTTCTTACGTTGTCATATTCCCAGTTTTTTTTATTATTAAAATCTGTGAGTTTGTAGCAGAAATATGATTCAAGTGAAAATTGACTTGTAGTACTAGAGAGAAAGCGGATAAAAAGTGAAATGTTTGTTTAAGTTGCTGAAACTGACTGTTTTCAAGGATCTTCTGCTTCACTGTTTTTTGCATCGACCAGTTTTCCTTTACTTCTAAAGCAAATGAACATTAAATATACGTTATTAAACTTACATTACTCTGTGCAGGTTGAATCTCATAGTGCAGGTCAGCGCTTGCGAAATTTTTGCTTATGTTTGTAATAAATTATTTTTTTTAGTTCCCTGATAAAAATATTAAAGGTCCCTGTCTGGGCAAATATCTTACGTTAGGATATTTTTCATATTTGAAAATAGTGCATGCTTCATTAAGCAATTTTGGTATGAACAATTTTTTTTTGCTTCATAAGGAAGTGATCTTGTCTCACTCTTATTGCTGCCATAATTTTCTCACTAAGTTAATAGAGTAATTCAGTACCATTTCTTAGCCTTAACGCTGCAGAATAATATGTACGAAGCTCCATGCAAATACAGATTTTTCGGCGATCGATAGTTGATGAGGTGTTTTGATTGAATTTCAATGTTGTGTTTTGGAAGCTGCACCTTTTATATTGCAGCGATGATTCTCAGCAGGATGTTTTTGGCCACTTCAGTTCGCTGTTTTGTCCCATCACAAGTATCCTGCTTCAGGCGTGAATTTTTTCGACTCATTTCTGCATGTTTAAATCAGGAACAAAAATATAGGAAATATTCGCATTTGCTGTGTTCGTTAAATGTATGTGGTGTTTTTATAATTTTTCTAAGGATGAAGTGCTTGAATAGTTCTGAAATACTCTAGATGTTTAAATTTCAGGTTCCGCTGCTTGAATTCAGGCAACGCAAGCTTAGCTACAGCTTAGAAGGAACAAAACATGGCCAAGAGGGTCTTGAAGAGACTAGTCGCATTGAAAAAGAATGCAGAAGCGACGTACGAATGTTGGAAGCGACAACTCCAAAAGTCTTGGATAAAGAATCAATTTCTGATTTGGAATTAGTAGAGCTACTTGTGGCTGAGCTGCGAAGAAATGGGAAGTTGTTTATACTTCCTGTGAATGACATTGCCGCTATGGAAGCTGTCACGAAAGCTTTCAGACTTTTGCTTGATATCGGTAAGCTGGATATCAGTTTTTTGCTCCTAATATGTGAATATGTTGAAGATAAAGTTTTAAAGATGAGAGAACCAGTGGTGTTTGATAGCATCAGAAGCTACTGGCTTCCTTTGGAACTAATAAAATTTGAGATCTTCTCAAACTGTTTAGGCTTTTTGATCTGAATTATTAATGTTAGGGATTCAACCGGAGTTCATCATTGATTCCTGCGTTTCTGTACCTCAGCTGTTTGTATCACTAACTCAAAAAGGCGAAACAAGCATTCAGATAATAGAACTCATTGTGGATTTCTGCCAGCTTACTTATGAAGACTCCATCCGCATTTTTGCAACGTAGGTCTCATGTTGTTCAAATCTGTCAGCTTGATAGGTCTTTTTATGTTACTTTAGATTGTTTCAGTATTCCATTAACTTATTCATTGTGATCATCGCTTATTCTCGTTAGTTAATTCTGTCATTTCGAATTTTTGCTCAAGAAAATTAGCATTATATCTTTTCTTCTATAGTTACAATGAAGAGCTACTATCAACAGGACCGGAAGAAATTCAAAAATGCATGGAAGTACTTGATTTATATGGATTTCAAGATAAAAAATTGGGAGAAGCGATTTGTTCATGCCCAGCGTTACTTTTTGCTCAGAAATCTAGTAAACTGGCTCAAAATGCTGAAAATTTATTTTCTCATTTCAGTAAAAATCAGGTCTGTTTTATTCATTGTATATATCATATCATGAGCATTATGTTCCCTGTCGTCTTTGCAGGAAATTTCTTTATTCTAAATTTATGAAAAATTAAATTGCTTTTATCTCAGAAAAATTGTATATTTAATTGAAATTTAAGGGAAATAATATTGATCGCTGCATTTCAGCTTTATTCGTTGTTAAAATCCTCTCCAGAAATATTGCTTGGCGATACTAACGAAACGGAGGATAAAATTGAATACATTTATTGTTACATGCTTATGGACGGCGACGACTTTGCAAGCTGCACAAATCTCGCGCAAATATCATTGGAGGAACTGATGGATCGTCATGAATTCTTGCTGAAAACAGGCATTTATAAAACTCCAGATATAAAAAGACCACAGTTGAAAATGGTTTGTTTATATAAGATTTGCAGATTTCTATAACGATAAGATCTAGATTTGGACTGAAAACTTCAGATTTAAATAATTTGATACTGGAGATTTATCATGTTGCGTAGGTTTTGTTTTTCTTAACACTGTTGAACTGATGGGTCACGTATTTCTGTTCCATACTAACAACTTGAATTTTGATCATATTGACATAACATCTTTGGATGTTAGCTTAATGGTGGTTTTATTTCTCATGAGCATCAGTCCAAATCATGTGATCTATACATTGTATTTTCAGAAAAATCCGAAACTAAAGAAGATTCTAGATATCAGTGAGGAACAGTTCGCAAAAAAAATAGGTCATGTGTCCCTAGAGGAATGGTACCTATTTAGAGAGTTACAAAACAAACGACGGGTATTAGAATCGGAAGGAAATACACGTCCGTTTGAACGAATCAAGCCATCAATGCGGAAACAATTGGAACGTAAGAAGAAATCAATCCAATTGAATGATTCCGAAGCGTTTGAATCATATAATGAAAAATATTAATAAACGATTGTAGCCAGGATTTCCGCACACTACTTTTCTTCCATTGTGGGTCTTTTTTCTGATTAATGTAACAAAAATCAAGGCGGTATATTTTATGAACTGCCTGATGTTTCGGCGAAAATTTGGGACTTCTGGATTTCTCGAATTGAGTTAGGTACGACAAGAAGAGAGAAAGCTTTCCTTTCATAAAAACATACAAACACATGAAACAAATGGAAAAGGAAAAAGAGTATGAAAAGACTCATCATATGCCGGTGTTTATGTAAAAAAATCCACATCTATCAAATAGCCTAAAGTAATAGTATATAAAAAGGCGTGCAAAAAAGGCCTACTTATTTTCACTTGTTCGGCGTGACATACTTGCAGAGATGACATGCTCAGAAACATTCGGGTGTGTGGGTTGTCATGGCGGATTTAAAGCTACTGTAAGTAGAAAGAGTTTTTAAAAGAGTCATTGTATATGGTGGTACGGTTTATCTGTTGCAGAACGTAAGTCGTGCTGTGAGTGAGCTTTTCCTAACGTGATGTACGAGAGGTGGGTGGCATGTCTTGCTACCTTTTTCCTCGACAGATTGAATGGCAGGACGTCGTTGTTGGATATTCATTCATTTAATCATTATGCAGTTATTGCTACCAGCTATCACTAAGGTTTTTGTGGACTGTTACCTGAAGTGTTCAGAGTCTGTTAAAAGAAAAAAAAGAGAAGGGAGTAGCTGTTAATATCTCTACAGGTAATTGAGAAAGTTGGTTATATCGAGTTCCTGGGCGAGAGTGGTTGTCACGAGACGTGTGCGATTGGAAGATGTCCGGGGTTAACGTACATACAGCAGCTAGCAGACTCCACTCCACTTATCTCGCTTTCTTCACCTCTCTGTGAAGAAAATATCTCCTTCACTCTAATGTTCTTGCATTTAATTTTCTAACAATATCGTTTAGTGTGGCGAAATAGGCTTGAACTGTCTCCTGATGCATCTGGAGATCTCTAGAAATCCACTTCTATCTTATAAAGTAGGTACTTCGGGTTTGATTGATTTGATTATTCAGCGCAGCAGAGAAAATCTTATCAGTGCTTTAATACACAATTTGTGATTTTCCACATAGTTTGTGACTTGTGGCCCTTTCAATTTTCATTTAATGTTTATTTTCTTAAATACCTTAACTAACATGGTTCCATATTAAAATTCGAAAATAATTACAAAATTGCCGAAGGCATACTAAGTTCTTATGGTAGGAGAACATTTAATAATCTTTGTATTCTCATACCACAAAAACTTAGCATGTTAACTGGCTCAGATAATATGACATGCTATACTATATAATTACCATCGCACTTAATTCATTAATTTTCTTAATTTTCAGGGATGTAAGCACTGAAATTTTAATAGCAAGTTGGGTGGAGAACTTCATCAACGTGTTATTTGACTGCATTACTGAGTGGAGTTTCCCAGTTCTCTGCAACACTTTTTTCTATTCACTTTGAAGTATGTTATCGTGCTCCATTTTTGATTATTGCTTCCCTTACTTGATAGTGTTTGTGGTTTACTCACAAATATGAGCCTTTCAGACGGAAAAAACAATTACCACATCGAATATATAAATATGTGCATCTTAATAATGATGATAAGATGTTTTCGCGCGTTATTTTTTCTCGTAATTTCATATTGAACAATGCACATTTTACATGTTTTGTATACGCATGCTAGTATATAAGTGAAGCTAGTAATTTCAAGAAATGCTACATTTTGAATTATAAATAGATGATTGATATGGAAAAAGTTTAAGGTCTTCGGAGAAAGCTCGTATTTGATTATATATGTAATTTTGTGCTGTTATAATAGGAGTTAAGTTATGATGTGATCTGAATAAGAATTCCTGCATAAACGTCTTTTATAGAATGATATCACAGCAAAAGTGACAATGAGAAGAAATGCAATTTTCTTTCAAATGTTTTATGAAACTTAAGTTATTGATAACTTGTTGGTTTATTCAAGAATCTTATTGTTACAAAATAAAAGAACATTGTTTTATTGAAATGTGGAAGTGATGATTGGTGTAATAAGAAGAAGTGGACTGATTAAGAAATCAAAGAAAAATAATACCGATTTTTAAAACAATTTTGATGCAGATTTCTCAAGTGTTGCACTTTTTAATATTAAATAATTGCATTGCAATGAAGCGTTCAGGGTTCTTTTTTATAGACCAAACTTGGTGTAATGTTGAATCAGTCGTCGTCTTCTTCTACGAAAAATTACATTGATGTTTGTGGCGAGATTAGCGAATGTAATAGCACTGCAGCTTCACAGCAGCGTCTTCTTAGCGGTGGTACTAGTTCTAGACAGTTGAAGCAAGAAGAGCCAATCGCTGCTGCTACCACTGTTTGTGCAATCGCGAATGATACATCTAACATGAGCACTCATGACGAGGTTCATTTTTAAAATTTAATTTTCGAGTACATTGCTTTGTCTTGATATTGAATTTAAATGTTGCTGAAACATGGATTTTATCTTTGATATTCCAAGACGTCGTAATCTTGATCTTATTTAACAATGGATGAATTTAGTGATGATCGAATGCTGGGGAATATTTACACTTTATTATTGAAATATCCTTAAATAAATCCTGAGACTAAAAAGAAAAAATTTGACGAATATTTTACCGAAATACATACCAATTGGAGAAATTTCAGACTGGTTGCATGGCCAGTCTATTTCAGACCCCTCCTTGGGCATCAATGGCTATTCTTCCGCCACATAATTTAGCCCAACAGCAAGGAGGCGTCACGCGAGAAGTTGTTGGAAGTACAAGTCATCCACTGGCAATGCGTTATTCAAGTTTTGATGGAACTGCTGCTGCTGCGGCTGCGAAAGATCCTATGAATCCGATGAATGCACCTCTTTATCAAGTTAGTATTTGCCCTAGTGGTATGTGTCAAATGTTTATATATTTATGTTACGAATAGATGGAAGTGGATCACAAGACACTCATGAAGAGGATCACCCTTCCATATTTCTCGAATTAAATTATTTGAGATAGCGCGTTTTGCACCTCGTACAATTTTATGCAGTTCAGCTTATCGAGAGTATTTCTAAAACAAGAACTTGCAAACATTTTGAATATTTCAAGTAAAGAGATATTTTCGAAGCGAGTTAACCGAGTGTATTTCTTAGTTTTTATTACGCTAACTCATACCAATTAAAAACATTGTCTGATGTTATGACTGATTGTAAAATGATGAATATTGTGTGCACCATTCAAGACACTATATTATTCCGTGTTTTTTGTGGAACATACTACAAAGATGCCTAATCACTGCTGTGTAAATAACGAAAACACTGAAGGTTTTCGTATTCTCTAAGGAAGATAATAAGAAAATTTTTTCCTTGTTTTTGTTTTTGCCTTGAGTTTTGTGGATATTAAAATCCTTTCTTCTATTCTGTTAAAAGAAAGAATTTTAATTTTTAATACTAAGACAGAAAAGTACACAAAGCGAATTATTGATTTGTCAGGAATATTGCATTTGCAGTTTTTAAATTGAAATTTGAAAAATTTGAAGAAGAATTCCCGCTGCATCTTAGCTGGTGTACTATTCACATATTTAAATTGTTATTATTAAGACATATCTTACCTTCACCGCTACACTTTTACTATAATGATGTTTGAGCGCGACGTGTTGCTGCGGCATGGTGCTGTTAGATAATATCAATAATATACAGTATAGAAGTGTTGAATGATCAACTGTTCCGCTTTATCACGTACTGCGGTATTTTAAAGCAAAATTAAGTCAAGCTTCAGTCTCAAAGTTTGATTGCCTGTAAATAGAATTTTTGTTCTTCCTCATTTCTTTTTCTTTTCTGTGAGTTAGCTTATTTTCATGAACTCTGTAATTAATTTGAGTTTTCTTTCAGCAGTATTTTCCAGTCGGTTTCAGGATATCTGTTTTACACTATGAAGTAATGATAAAATAAGTTGTTGATTAACTGTGATATTACCACTTCTCTCTACCTGACCTCACTTTCATATATTTTGATTCCGTAATTCCGACCCCTTGGTAGGAGATAGTTCTGCCATACCCAGTATTGCTGCCATCGATTACATTTACTTTCCATAAAGATTTCCGAAAAAATTTTCCGCTTTTTGAACCAGGTTTTTCGACAAAAGAAACAGGAATGGAAGCGAATATCTTTGCAAAAATTCTAAGAATTCGAAATCTTGTAGTGGATTTTTCGAATATTGCTCACATTTGAATAAGCAATAATTCTTGTTTCAAATCACTGGATTAGTACGGTGGTGGATAGGAACAGAGATGCTTTCACTGACTAGATTATAATCTACACAGTTATTAATTTATAGTTTTTTTTTAAAATTTAGTTTACAGTCTTTTTTTATTTTTGACAGGTATCTAATGATATCTTACCAATATTTTAGTATGATGTAATTTATAAGCTTTAAAATGCCGGAAATTTTTTTCCAACAGAGGTAGATACTATAAAAAAACGAAACCGGTTTATTAAATGAAACAAAAATTAATGGGAAAGAAGTTTAAAATTTTATAACGATAATGTGCTTTTTCGGATTTTGAAATTATTGCTACAGAATTTAGCTATTTCGTCTTCTGATTTTCCCCTTGGTTTCTTCTGCGATAGTCTTTGTTAGATCTTTTTTTTTCACTCAGCTTTTGCTGTATTGGTCGCTTGATTCAATTTTTGTCTAGTCGGCGTTTAACAATCATCTGGTGAAAGGAAAATGTTGAGCGTAATGGAAAAGTAATAGTCCTTGTTTTAGAGTGATATGTATCTGCCATATCGCGCATATTCGTTATTCGAGCTATATCTTTTCACATCTTGTTTCTCTTTTTTATTCAATATTCCATATGTTGAAAGGGATGCAACACCCACATTTCTACCCATTCTTTCATTTTCTTTTTTTGCGACAGTGATTGGAACGTTGATTTCTTTTTTCATTCATTCCCGCTTCGCTGTCTTCCTTTTTCGACAATTTTTTTAAAATACTAACATAAAGAAATGATGTCTTAATGTTTGGTTTTTATATATATATAGTGATGTATCCACATATTCCTCACAAATATCAACAGGTAAGTATGGCGAAGATCGTAGAAGCCAGCTTTTAACGGGTTAAGAACTTTGATCAAAACTGGTTTGGGCATTATTCAATGTCGTTTGAGTACATTCAAGTTTCTATTCATCGTTTTTATCTCATTATTTCTTTTCCTCGTGCACTTCATGTGTACTCCAATTATAACATTTATGATTGATGGATGCTTCTTGATTCTGCTAATAATACGCTTTTCCACTTAATATTTTCTGTCATTTTTTTGGAGGGAGCGTTGTTATATTTATATTTTTCCTATTCGAAATCCTCGTTTAAGTTCTACTATAAATGATGCACCTTCAAACTTGAGGAAGGTGACCTTAATATTGCTTTATTGCTGGTTCCTTCAACATGTAGTTATTGAAAAGGATTAAATCTCCGCATATTGCAGAGATTTTTTTATGTTGTTTGGTTTGCATATTAATTTTATCAAGATTCATTTCCATATAGAGTTCCTGGATTCATATACTTGATTCAAAATTATATCAGATTTTTTTATTGGTTGTCAGTAGGATTTTTAATATCTTAATTCCTGTCAAAACAAATAGAATGGATACGGATAAGTAACTAGATGATCGGTCATAGGTTTTTCAATACATTCTTCATAACTAACTTAGCACTGTTCTGTAACTTTTTGTATCAAAAGAAGTGATAAAAACAGACTGCACCATTGGGTCTAATAGTATACTCGTTTTTATTACTTCGAAATTGAGTAAATGATAATTGTAATGCTGTCGGTTTGTGATAGGTTACAAAATATGTAACGTTGTAAGTCTCTCTTTCTCTTTATGTTTCTCTTTTTCTTGGCTCTTGTACTTCTCTGTGTGAAGATGTCCATTTTTTTGTGTTTGGAAAAGAGAAGGCTATTTTTGATTTGACTTCGCAAAACAAGCCACATTTTTCTGAAATTTAGCGTCTTGGAGATCGTTAGACAATTATTGATGGATACCATGTAAAATTTAGGTCGATATATAGGTGATTTTGAATAATTATTGGTATTGCTTTCTATCCTACTTTATCCATTGCCTATTAGTTGGAAACTGAAGATAAAAATTTATAAGACAATAAGTTAAAAAAATGAAATTTGGTATTTTTCCATTCCTCTGCAAAAAGTGAAGACAATGTTAATTTTTTGATGACTAAATATTGTTTGTTCTTCACAGATTATCACAGCCTTTCAGACTTGATTAATACTTGTCACTTCAGTATCTTTCTTCGAAGTACGACGTTATTATTAGCTATCAATAAATAATGATTCTGCATTTTTCTTCATCATCATATCAACAATTCTCTTGTTAATCATTTTTTACTTGGTTTTAAATACACTAAATTATAGTAATTAACTCTTGCTATTAATCCAGGTATGAATTAAACGAGTAATAAAGCAAAATGTCTATTCGATCCCGCTTGTTGAAAGCATTTTCATAGTATTATTATTAATCGTAATAAATGTGTTCAAGAAATCTCTCAACATCAAGTTATTGGCAGCAAATTGGGAAAGGATGGAAGAAGTGATAATTTGCAGAAATCACCATAATGAATAGCAAACGGAGCGCTTTTTATATATTTCAGCTCTTTTTACTCTTTTTCACTAATATGACTATTGAAATGTTTTTTCCCGGAAAATCTAAAATCCAAAAATTTATTATTAAGATGTGGAGTTATCTGCCTTTCTTTATTTGTTATTTTTGTTGTATAAATTAAGACAGTACCTCGTTTAAAAAAATATCTTTAGTTCTGTGTTGAGAGTGTGATTTATGAGCAGTTACACTTACTCTGATTAATCATGTTTCTGCTACTTTCATACGAAATAGCATAAATAGTTCTACCCTAATCTAAAAGTTGTGTGTCGTAAATATGTTGAGTCTGCATCATATTTCCTTCCGTCATATTTATCGCAAGAATATTTTTGATCTTCAGTACACTACTTGATATTAATGAGGGCTAACGGATGTCAGGCGCACAATGTTCCAGATTACTGGTTCCATCATGTCATTTTCGAATAATACATTTCCGTATTTATCGCATTCTTCATTTTTTTTGCTGTCGGCTCAAAATGTTATACTGTACGCTTTTTTAGAGGGAAAGTGATTTTTGATGTATATAAAGTGAGTTATTAAATATAAATAAAACTCATTGGAGGAATATTTGAATAAACTGGTACCGGCAGAATATTTTCCTCTTTAATTAAATATATGTCATCAGATGCTAAAAGTTTAATTATCCTCGATCTGCGCTCACTAATCACTTGTAGTTGTTTTTTTTTCTCTTAGTTACATTTTTTCATTCAGTAACTAGTAACTTTATATGATACAGTTGTGTACGATTGATCTATGTTAATTTGATTTGCTTCATGCATGCTTTTTTGTTAGAGAAAAACCATAGATAATATTATTCATTTTTGTCCATCTGATATTTCCTGAGGTAGTATGGAAGTATTTGCTTTCATCACGATTTGCTAATATTATTTGCTGACTGGATATGCTTTATGAAGCTCGAGAGATTTTTTTTTGCTTGTATTATTGAAAATCCAATTTATTTGAAACAATCAGAGAGCAATTTTTGATGTCTTCCGCATTTCCCCTTTTCCATTTTTAGAAATGAGAATTTTCTCGGTTTTGTTTTGCAACAAATTTTAATTCTGTTTGAAAATTTGAGCTGTGAGTTTTTTCAGTGATGGAAAAATTGTTAGGGTTTCTTCAAAAAAAGTGGGGAAAAATTTTTTTTTTGAAAAACGTCATTGCAATTTCTTCATTCATATTTTTGAAATTATTGTTATGGTTGTTGTCACTGGTTTTTGCTTCTTGACGTGGGTAGTGGGACTTTTTTTGAAAATTTCCTTTTTTGTAACCATAAATGAATGAGGGTCTGATCCATCTTGTCAGAAGTTTTCCTTGCATCAATTGAAATATGTTTCAAAAAAGACTCCATGTTATAGCAGACCACAGTACAGCTGGAAAATTTTCCATTCATTTCCACAATTCAATCATGCCGTGTTCTAGCTACAACTCTCTCTCTATTTCTTTCCTTGTTTTCAAAAAGGAAATAAAGCAGGGTGAGAGGTAGCACTTTTTACCCTCCCCGTCCTCTTCTTCCCCCTCCCTCACCTCTCACAAAAAGCTTTTCCAATACAAAAGCAAGCTCTTCCAGCCTTTTTCTTTGCCTCTTTCCTCTCTTCCTTTTTCTTTCCTCTCTTCAGTCCCTGTCTCGTGTATCACATCTCGACTACATTTTTCCCGTTCTTTACAATAAACAATCTTTTTCAAATTTTTATGCAAATTTGCTATAAAAGAGGTCCTTGGACAGGTCTTACCCAATTCCATTTTTGCAACTCTCCCCTTCATCAAGGCTGTCCTTCATCGGTTCGAAGTACTTCGTTCGGATGATGTCTTTTGATAAATCTTTTGATTCTTGACAAACTTTCAGAGTAAGAGGGTACTGTTCTGACAACAGTATAATCAGCTAATAGTTGAGAGAGTGTGAAATGGAATGTTGACCAGAACCCTCGAAAGATTAGTTGATATGGTACCATCGAATGTGCAGCGTAACAAAACGACACGCTGCAATGGGATAGTGCTGGTACACTATATTAAAGGCGAATCTACTATACTTGGAAGGTTTTTCCTAGAAAGGATGGGTTGACGAAGACAGGCGGGCTGGAACAGGGTAGGTTACCGTGTCTGATGGATTTTTTTCTCCATAACTGGACCAAAAATACAAATAGGGATAAATTTTGGAATATTTTCAGTTTCAAGATTTGGACATGATAGCAAGCATAGTGGCGAAAGAACAGGCACTACTAAAAATGAATACAGCAGCAGCAGCAGCATCGAGCACTTCAGAACACGGTCGTTTGGCAGGTTTTGCTATACCAAATCGCGCACATACTCAGGTTATAGTTAATGGGTATGTATCATGATTACAATTTTTTTTTCAGTCTTAATGTTTGTAAAGTAATATTTTGTGCCAGCACTTATTAAGTTTTCTTTTTCACAACTTCCACCTTCGATTTAGGATGCAGTTAACTTTCTTTCTAAGTAAAAATTTTGAGTTGGAAAAGATGAGTGCAAGCACTTATTGTTTTCCCAGCAGTTTCTTATGTTGGTTTTCAAAGTAATCACTCCTTAGAATACATACATCTTGCAATGTCATTTAAAGCATTTAAAGTTTTATTTCTCTTAAATCATAACAGATTTTATCTTTCTTATGTCATGGCATAAGCCTGCATTTGATATGCAAGAAATGTCCAGAAATCGTAGAGGCATTTTATTAAGTTTTCTTCGGATTTTCAGTTTTCGATTATCTTGTATACATACACTTAATATCTTAAATTTTGCATTTATCCTTCTATCTCCTTTCAAAAATACTAACAAATTAGGTTTGCAGAGCACGAGAGAATATGTCATCACCAAGTGAAATGTCACCAACTTCATGCTCTCCATCATCATCCGACACATTGCAGAGCACCCAAGGGGGGACCAGTACTGCAATTCATGCACATAACGAACATCCCGGCCCGGAAGACACTGCACCCAAAAGTGGAAATGGTTAGTGCAAACACTTATTATTTCCCAACAGTTTCTTGTGCTGCTTTTAAAAGATATGAGCGCAGTCAATCCTGAGAATGCATCATCTTGTACTCCACTTAAAAAATTGTTTTTAAAAAAAATTTTTTAATCATTTCTATAGAAATAGAACAGTTAATTTACATATATCAAATCTCTTTAATTATTTAAATAAGTAGATATGGATGAGACATTTAAGAATCTCTTTTGTCGTAAATTTTATTGAATCGGTTGCTTTTTATGGAAAACGTGCATCATGCAGCAGTTCCTAGAACTATTTCCCACTATTGTTTTCCATCTGTTTCTATTGTCATTTTCAAAATTTAATTAATGACGTATCTTTTTCAGAGTCACCTGTGGATGTGACGAGCCTCATGAAAGGTACTATCTTATGTTTTTGAAACTTTTACGTGGCCTCTGATTCATATTCATTTAGTGTTATATGTGCTGAGGTAAGTGACATAAATTTATACTGAAAAAATACAAAATAAAATAGGTATGGACTATTTATTAGATGTAAGCCATTTGAACAGAAATGTAGGCCAGAGTGATCTAATGCCATTCATATCTATCGGTCACTTAATGCCATCGGCCTTTGCAATAGGTAACAATCATCTGCTTTTTAAACTTTCTGAAACTAAACTATTTCCCTGGTGATTTTTATTGATTAGGGAAATAAAAAATATATGTGAAGAAATAAAAAATATGTTTTAATTGCTCTGGAAGGTAAACAAAAAGGCATGAACAAACGTATTTCAGGCTCGTTCAATCTTGCCTATCAGCAGCATAGTTTGGGGCCAAGTAATAGTTCTCAGCAACAGCAAGCAAGCAGTTCACGAGAAAGCAATGTTCAAAGCGGTACCACAACGCTCCGTTCTAGGCATCGCTCGAGCCACCATGATGGTCTTATCAAATGCCATTATTGTCCCAAGAAGTGGGCCGACCAAGCTGTGGTTTGTTTTCAATAGTTGAAAAATGAAGATGCTTTTATAAAATACGAGATGAGTAAGATTTTGAATTTGGATTTTTAAATATGCTCCAGTATGTTTGGCGATAGCCTGACGTTAACCGATATTTCCACTTTTAAACATTTTGTTCTTTATACGGTGTAAATATTTTAAAATAGTCTTGTGACGTTGAAGGTCATTCTGTTTCTCTTGACTTTTGGCTTCAGAATACTCATCATCGATAAAAATGATTTGAAGTGCTGGCTGTTATCTTTCTTGATTTTTTTTGCGTAAAAAATTAACTTCAAGCTGACCAACGTAAAATAAACGACAGTTAAATATTGAAAGTAATTTTTTATTTGGAGAGAGACACTGACTTTATTTCAGTTCTCCTGGCCTTTTTCTCCATTTCCATATTGAAACTTTTCGCCGATTCTATATTTTCAATTATACTGTTCTCCGACGATATTTTTTGTTGATCTTTCAAATATTTCAATAAATGACTGTCAGTCATAATCGTTGATTCAGTAGAGATGTTGAGAAATTTGTTAATATATTTCATTTAATATTCAAGATTGCTGATCGGTAAATTAAACTTGGGATGTTTAAATTATTGATTTTTGAGGAATTTTTAGTTTTCATGCGAAATCTTCTTCAATTATTAGTTCGCTTTTCCTGGTGCTTTTTTATTATTTTCAGTTACTAGTGATTTTATCTCACCTTTATAGTAATATTACTTGCTGCTTTTTTTTCACACTCTGTCCTAAACTCCTAAGCAGAATTTTTAACGCTCCGTCAGTGAAAGAACTAGATTGTTTTAATTGGTTTTAGAGGTCAATGTAGAGTTGGCGAAGTATATCTTTTCAAGTTAATTCCAAGTTTTAGTGGAAACGGGTTAAACAAACTATTTCATATTAGCCTCAGAATAATTTTCTTTTCAAAATTAAATGAAATTCTTTGATATTCCTTACTCTTTTTTCATTATGTACTTATACATAGTGCAGCACGATTCTATAATTGATGGTTGTATTTCTTTTGGTGCTTTTCTCAGTCATGATTCTTGGATCATCAAATATAAAGTTGGATGACGTGTAATCGTCAGTAATTATCTGTGCCGTGCTGATCAAAACGATTGCAATAAAGTAATGCAGAGAATATTGCAAAAGATTTGTAATTATCCTGCATAACCAACCCGCAAGCATATTTTCTGATTCTTTTGTTGATCGCTAGCGGATTATCTTTAGCATCAGTGAGATCTTTGTACATCAAAATATTGTCGCAAATACAGAATGGGGACTAATTTTTTTTTTTAAATCAAGTTCATTTTCAATTGCTCACTTTTTTATACTTAACAAGCAACATCGTTTCAAATCACCATGGTTAACTATGACAAATAACTGTGAAAATAGCAGGGCTGAGAGGATCTATCCTCCAGTTATATGATTTTCATGCTTTGATAAAATTCATACACACTGTCTCCAAATGCTCATGATATTCTATGAGGTTGTCCGTGAGGTGTCCGTGAAGCTGTGAACGTGCAGCTGATCATTATGCCTGTTGAGTACTGTTTAACGTTCTTTTTCTTGTTCATGAAAACCAGATCGAATAATTCAGGTTTATTATGGTGACTTCCAGTCAGGTAAGATTTTGCAGAACATAATTTGATTTTTAGTATAATGTATTCCTTTTAAGAATTTATTTTATTGAATGTTCTTCAATAAAAGAGCGAGAATTTAGTCAGATTCAGAAATCGGAAAGCGGAAGTAGGATATGTCTCCAGTCTAGATAGATTTATACGAAAGCTAGTCTTGAGATGCAAGCTACCAAACTATTTATTTAAAACACTTGGCCCTGATATCACATGTGAAATGATGTTGGTAATCACACTTTGTTTAAATAACGAAAGCTAAGTAGTCGGAGTAGTCAGAGCTATTTGAAGCTCTTCAAGGACAAATCTGTTGAACCGCTAGTATTGCATGCTTTTTGAGGAAGCCAAATTATAAATATTTGCAGTGCACATAGTTATTGCCTTTGTCTTATTAGGATATGTCTAGATCCCGATCAAATCACAAAGTAGCTTCAGCGTTTAACTTGCTGCGATGTGCTGCTACCTTATAGAATATTCGTCTATTTATCCTAGCGCAAAGAGACAAGTAGTTAAAAACAACTGTTTGAAGTGTTAACCACTATCTTATCAATCTTGCAAAGTTGAAATATCATTCTATTGACCGATCTTACCTCACGATTTCGACGCAACAACTTTACACTTATTACGGTGTGTGACACATTAATGTAATTTGATGTAATTTGTTGAAAAAAATTTTATAAATAAGCATATGACAGTGTGAATGCCAACTATTTAATTAATTGGAAAAAACATCAAACTGATCACAGTAACGAGTTCATAGGAAGTATTAGGACTATTTTATTAAGAACTTTTTGGCTTTTTTTTGGTTTTTGATAGAAACTTTCTGGTTTTGATTGTATTTTGTACCAAAAAGGCTTTTTAAAATTTTTCTGAAATCAAATTCAATAGATTTCAAATTAAAGCAATCTCTCATTTAACATTATATGTTGACTATAATTCCTGTCCTTTTTTATACTTATTTATCTTGTTCTCGCAAGTTATGATGGGTAATATTTAATTTTTATTCTAAATTATACATTTTTAAGCAGGCTATCCCTTCACGTTAGCATTGTTTGGCATTAAACAGTAGTAATATTCATCTCGTTCATTAAATTATTTCGTCGGATAAAATAGGAACCGTGGATATTTTATGTGATTGATGTTAATCCAAACATTGCTATCCAAGGATATTTTAAAGTATCTCTGTTAAGTTTTAAGATGAAGAACTAAGGGTAAACTTCGATATTTTTATTTTAAAACGTTCTTAACAATGAATGTTCTTAACAATTTTATAATATTTTTTATTTTAAAACGTTCTTAACAATGAACTAATTTTTTAGCAATTTCTATTATAACTGGGATAGTGCGACTTTTGGATTCTTACATAAGTTTTTCTATGGAGTGGATATTTCAGTAATAAAGTGCCATTATCAGAATGAAATTGTAACTGTAAAATTTTAAAGAGCTTGTGTGGTAGGTAAGAACAAAAAATGTGCAGAAAACAAAAAACGTGCAGGATGCGTACAGAAAACAAAAAACGTGCAGGATGCGTACAGAAAACAAAAAACGTGCAAGATTGCGAATAAAATATTGTATGTGAATCTTGAATGATGGATCAAATAGAATGGTTTGTATAGGAAGCGTTTGATATCGTTTCAATGAGAATAGGAAGTAATGGAAGAGATTCAGATAAAATCTTTAAACAGTGAAGTTCCAGTGCAGTCTTTTATCGTTATTGATAAAGAAATACTAAGACGACATCGCTTTGTAATGATTCTGAAACAGCATCACATTTTTGAAAAATATCCGTTAAATTCGAGCATTCCTTCAAATCTTGAAATTTTGCGTGAACATCACTGACGAAAGTAATTGATACTTATACATCTATCATTATTTCATTGTTCATTAGCTGAAAATTCTTTTTTTTTGAATCAGTAACTTATACTTTGAAATTCCAAATCTCTATTACCGCTAGATCGGTGCGACTTATTGCTTCTAGAATGCTAAAAAGTTAAGAGCAATGACATTCTGTACCGAAATGAGTTTACCTGTTCCTTGCATCGGTAGCATAATTTCGTTTCCTGAAGAATTATATCAGTGGCACCATTATGTTCAAAATGTTTTGCAGATTTCATCAACTTGCTTAATTTTTTGTATATTGTACAGATATATTTCTATATAATGAAAATGCGTTCATTGAGAACTAAATGGAAAAAGAGTGCATTTTGAAATAAAAATTGTTTTGAACAAAACAACTTGTTCGCAGATAATACAAAACTATCGAGTCTTTTAATAAATATTGAAAAATATCGTTTCTTTCTATAAAAATCTTCATATTATTTTCAGCATAATGGAAAGTATTTTCTATTAAATTCTTCACTCTTAGATCACACATGAGTTGAGAATATTTTTATCGTCCGAGAACTTGTTGACAGTTGTAATTCTTTCGATATATTTATCCGTTGATGTCACTTTTCTTCCCAAGACATTTCTCTCGCCGTTTATCTTGTAAAAGATAAAGATGCAGGGAAATTTTTTTAATTAGATTATTAATGAACTACCTTCTTTCTTTAACCCTGTTGAACCTTGACAGCTTTTGGGGGAAAAGACAAAAAATAGGGAAAATTATTTTTGCCACTGTAGGCAATGAGCTTGATAGCAGCTTATTTAATCTACCTCAATGTGATAATGATGAAAAATAGTCCTGTTACTCAGAATGCTATAAAAAAATAAGAAAACAAAAAATTAATTATTAGTTTCAAATAGGAGTAAAAATGAAACATTTATTATCAATAATCGGAGAACTTGTAGAAATTTCGACCTTTCATTAGTTTCGTTTCGCTAGAGTTTATTTCTTTTTACCTGTTGAAAAGTAGTGAACATGATCAATTTTTCAGTTACGAGTTCACATGGAAGAATGTCGATTATTACGAATGCATGAATGTCAACAGTGTGGTAAACGTTTCAAAGCGCGTGGTGGTTTGCAACAGCATTTACGCATACATTCGAATGATCGTCCGTATCAGTGCCGCTTTTGTCCGAAACGTTTCACTCAAAAGTCGCATGTGGATCAGCACGAGAGAATTCATACTGGTTGATATTTGCTTAGCTTTGACACAGGCCAGTAAGAGGGCTCTTGAATATTTCATATGACTCATGGAGCTTAGATTCATGTAGTAGAGTAAAATAAAGTCAGATTGAGAGGTTAGAACGTGCTAATTAATTAAGTATGTATGGGCTTCCACATTCAAAAAAGAGATAATTTTTGGGTTTCAGGTGCCAAACCATTTTCTTGTCAGTTTTGCGGTCGTGCGTTCCGGCAGCGTTCTCAGCAGCTCGGACATGAATCAACCCATGCAAGTGGACCTCTTTCGATGAGTGCACATTTACCGCACGCAAGCTCTCATCACATCAAGTTTGAAAACGCAAAGTTTGTTTTGTTTTATCTCTTCCTACAGTCAATTTTATGAAATTTATCAACAATCATTGCAAGATAGATATTGTATTGCTGTTTAGTATGGTGAGGATGATATCATTCCCTCTCTGAGGCAAACGAAATATTATATGATTGCAGTGCTGATCAAGGATGCAGCCAAGGAACAGCTGGAGATGCCAGCACTGTTGAAAGAAATGCAGCTGTGCAACAGCAAGCAGTGTCAGCGGTGGCCACCGCAGCAGCGGTTGCGGTAGCAGCGCAGCAGCAGGACCGCTTAAACAGTTCGGGAAGCAGTACTTTGAGCTTAATGTCGCCGAATGGTACTGGATTGGCACATAGTGCAGTCAGTTCACTGTTAGCATTAAGTCAACAGCAGCAGACTCAAGGAATGGCGATGTCACAAAGTACTCAGCAGACCATTGCCGATGCTATCGGTGCAAGGAATAGTGCAGTTTGAACGGAAACTCAATGTCTCCCTCTATTTTTGCATATATTTTGCTGTACTTCGAGCTCTCTTCATGTACTATGTTATTCCAGGGAACATTGCTGTATTCTTGATTCGATAAGCTGCATGTCTTCTTTCGTAGCACCGCTCAACTTGTCTTTTCAAGTGGATAATCATTTGCTTGTTTAATTTGATCGTAGCATTTTCAAATGAATTATAATGTTACTGACTGCCAAAATTCATCCCTTTCTAGATCGGTATTCCTTGTATGATTTTTCTGTCCCTTAAATTGAGCTTTTTGCAGCAAGCTATTTTATACACCGTGTTTCCTTTCCATACCGCTTTTTGCTTAATTATTGGAAACAACAGTTTATACATCTTGTTGGGTCTTGCAGTCCGAGATTGAGGTTCAAAGTCTGAGAATGTAGAAGTGCAATAGTTTATCGATGACCTAAAGCAATTACTTCCATTAGCATTGTTTTTTTTGCGGGTTTGGTATCTTGAAAGAAGCTTTGATATCTGTATGTCGCAGGTTTCACTTTTAAAATTAGTTGCAACGAGAGATGACTCGCATTACTAACTTATCGGGTCTGTAAAGATTATTAAACGGGTTTTAAGCCATCTAGTGAATTTCTACCGATCTTGATTAAAGAAATACAAGTTGTTTATCGTTGCTGAAATGTGAATTATTTTTATAAAGTTTAAAAAGTCTGCAACTGTATGGATTTTTCATTTTTTAAAAATGGGTCGTTGTTTGCTTAGTTTCTTTAATAATTAAAAAGTAACTTTTTTGACATTAGATATCGAAATAATGTTGGATGAATTGCGAACTTCGCCTTTCCTCTATAAAATGTTGGGTATTTTAGCATATGTTCATTATTTGAAAATTGATATCAATCATTAAGTTAAAGTCTTCGGTGTATCTGTCATGCGTGTTCTTTGTGCAGATGTGTGTTTGTGTCTTCTATTTCTTTGGTGTCGCCTGTTGGTTCTAAGTTTCCCTGTGTCGTTTTGTTTTTTCTTCCACGGCCAGTAAATTGTTTGGCTCTTTTTTCCTACTTTTTCGATATTTACTTGCCCTTGCTAGTTTGCCTGGTAGTTTCATTCATTTCATGTTTTCAAAATCTATTCCAGCTGCTTTTTCATGAATTCTTGGCAATTACCCCATATATCGGTTTTTTTTCTTTTCTTGAAGGAGAAGTGTTAAGAGGTCTCGTTCTCTGCCTTTTCGATTCTCTTCTTAACTCAGGCATTCCGTGTCTGCAATCAGACTAAATTAAAAAATATTTAGGTTTTGAATAAAAGTAAGTACATCTATAAATTACGTGAGTAATGCCTGCCTTGTGTAGCAAATTATCACATTACAATAGTTATGATTGCAGTTTCCGATATTCCGACTGTCAAATATCAAATCGAAAATTCTGCATTACATATATATAGGACCTTATGATCAGTATCCGTTCATTTGATATTCGGTGCATTTGTGTTTCGATTAGATTTTAGTTCTGAACATTTGTCATATTTGAATTCAGTGATGCACTTGCAAATTGATTGAGCGGAATTTTAATTCTTTCGAAAAATTAGTGATATTGGGTCGGACACTGTTTTCACTGATATTGCCGTAATTACTATTATTGTTATTGTTTATGAATAATTTCTCCTTCGAGAGTTTTCCAATGTTTTATTGGATCTATTCTTGATTTTAGTCAAAGAGGACAATTATTGGCTTAAATAATTGCCACAAAGCATTCATTTCCTAATTATTGTATTCTTACCTAGCTTTGTTCTTTTTTATTGAATTTGTTGTCTGTTCGTTTTTGTCGGTTTATTTTCTTACATCTTATTACGGTTACCATTCGGGTCCTGTAATTGTTTAAATTGTAAAGTTCCAAGTATTTCCGTCTTTTTATTCTTTCTAGCCTTATTAAATTTGGGAAATCTAGTTTCAGTCACGATGTATTCTCTACTTTCAAATCCATCATTTGTTGGAGCCTGAAGGGATAGTTTTTCTCCCACGAGATATGTTGTGATTTCAATGATCTTCGCTGATTCTCGAAGTGATGTACTGTTTGCATCAGTATTTGTAGGTCTTCCATTACTTCGAGACACTAGTGGGCGTTTCTATTTAATTTATATTTTCCTTTTTCCAATGACAGTTAAGGCCGATAATTTCCAGATTATGACACATTTTCGATTTGTCGAACTCTCTTATTCGAGAATGCGAACTGAGTAGTGATTCATCCTTTTTGCTCTATGATCGTAATTTATTTGTTAATGAAGATGTGGAAGTGGAAGTTTTTTTGCACAGTCTGTATAATTTTATGTGTTGTACCCATCATTTTTTTCATTTTGAAATAAAGTTAAATTATGGGCTAAGATATTTTGATTTAATGTTTTCCTTTCTGGCATACGTGTATTCTCCATGGTGCAGTTTGTAAATATGCAAGTATTTCAGATGTGATTTTAATGGATGCAGTTCGCAGGTATTCGTCATCTCATTTAAGTTATCGATTCCCTATCCTTTACTCTTACACCTTTCCACTCTCACTTCTATCCCCTGCGTAAATTTTAAAAAGTTGACGGTAAGTTCCCTCTCCTTTTTTGTGCTTCTGCTACTGTTGGAAATAAACTAATTGGTTTCAAATGTTAATTTCATGCTTTGTGTCATTAATAGATTTACTATTTTTCTGTCGTTTAGAACGTTTTAGTGCATATGTTTTGTTTTATATCGTTATGTCAATAGACTAGAAAATGTTAATCTGAGAGGGCGTAGTGCTAATAACGATTCAATGGTGGTAGCGATATAGAAGAAGATTGGAAAAGTCCTTCTGTTTGGACTGCACTGCGGTCGACAGTTCATTGCAATACGGAGCCATACTTTTATTTCTGACATCCCTGTTATGACTGACATGTTTGGTAGTCGGTCATAAAAGCATGGAAGAAGATGGTTTCATTTTGAAAACTGCTTTCTGCACATGTGATATGAAAGAGTTCAACCTATACTCGCCTAAATGTTTCTTATGCGAAATATAAATTATAATCAACGATGAAGAAAGCTACAGCTACATGGTATTTTTAAAATAAAGTCAGAGACAGTACCGATTCATCATTTATTTCATTTTACTTTCCTTACATGGAAATTTCACTTTTCAAAAATGTAACAGATTATCCAAATATGAAATATATGAGATGGAGAGGCGTAATATCTCGATTTTCGATAGTTTCTTATTGAGCGGTAATGTAGGTAGCAGCGCTCGTAGTTTTGCAAATGCACTATTAAACGATTCGACCCGAATACTATAACTAATGATTATCTGTGAATGATAAAATATATTCTTAAGAATTGGAAAAAATTACCTGAACTTATTTCAGTTTTATCTTCAGTTAGAAGTTTCATTCATTTTCAAACCTCTATCATACTTAGATGCAATAGTTCGTTGAAAAAAAAATTGTTAACAGCATAAAATATCATTGGTTTCCAAACAGTTCACGGTAAAGAATAATAATAAATGATGTTAAAAATCACCGTTCTCGACTAGCATGAAGATTGCGGTATTTCGGTGTAGCTCGACGTCGTTTTCGTCGTTCCGCTTTGTTCAACTTCTTCAATTCAATAGCCGATAACTGATGCATTACCGGGCTTGTATGAGCCAAATAATGGATGGAAGTCGGAGGGTCCAGGAGGTGTTATTTCAATTTTATTATTGCCCGGGGATTGGATGGAGAGACGATTTTGGATTAATTGAATCATTCACTAGCAACGCATCCTTCCATATCATATTATTTCATAGGTGGCCAATTCTGAGTGCATATTGGGCTGGGAATTTTATTGGTTTTTACTGAATAGAGAAAGGGAAGTAATTAGGAACCATATACTGCTTACAAACTGATTGGACTTTTTATTGATAGTATAGGTTTCAAATATTTCAAAGATTTTGGAGAATTTTTGTCAAGTTCAAGAAGACGTTAACAAACAGTTGCTTCAGGTCTCCGTAAATTTCACATATATTTTAGAGGGGAAAGGAAAAATATTGCCGTATTTGCTTCTACCAAATTTACCGCATTTTAAATATCAGTCTTGCCAATAGATTTCGATATGGAATGTTGTTAAAAGGTTTCACATGGGATGAAATCATTTCCAGTATATTTTTAGATTCTGCACATGAAGATTACTTCGTCGATTTAAAAATAAACATTGCAATGTTAGGTTTTGGTTGTTATGCACTTCACATTCATAACCTTTCGATATCCCATTAATTCTATACACGATTATATTATCAGTTTAGTGTTTACCAGTCAATTTTAGCAGTCCGTTGATTACTTCAAAAGATTTCGGAATGTCATATTTTTATTAATTCAGATGAATTTGGTTTCGTGTTTTCTTTAGGCTACCGATTCGGAATAAATTATCTTGAAAATGTCTGAATAGGAACCGATTTCCAAATTTGGCAATTCAGCTTCTTTAACACTTCTTTTAATTTTCTATTCGGTTTAAATTTCTTTGAAGATAAAAGGCTACAAGAATAGAACAAAAAGGGACAGAAGTATCTTCTAACTCTGATAGTATCATCCTCAACAAAACATTTGTTAAAAAGTAATGGATAATCTTTATCCATAGCTATCCTTGTGATGTGATTAAACTCAATTTCCAAGTTTCTAATGGTGCTTTGGAAAAAAATCTTCATTATTAGTCGTTTCTTCCCAGGTTATATTCTCCTAAAGTTGACCTTCCGTATGCAAGATTCATATATAGTGGAATGATTGCTTTCTTTAACTAAGTATATCTTCAATTTTGGCGGCTACAATCTTTCAGGACTGATCCCCGAGAAATTTCATCCTTACTCACAAAGTTGAGATTTCATAGTTGTTGCAGTAATATCGTGAGGATACCTGTTTCAAACATTTTAGCACAGAATTAACTTTTCTGGTTAATTAATATGAAAGCAATAAATATGAAACAATAGGTAATTTTAAATGGATTTTACTAATGTATTTATCATTCTGTGTTATGAAATGATGAGCTGGGTAACAAATTTAATACAACTGTTTATACGTGATGAAGGGTAAATCGAAATAGCATAATAATAGAATTTGGATACTAAAAATAGAATGTCAACATCCGAATACCAGAAACAGAATTTATACATTTAAATCAATTGTAAACTGATAATTTTTTCAATGTTTTAATTGAAAAATAAGTAGAGCTTAACAGATTACAATAGAGCAGAAAAAGCAGAGAGCAAAAAAACATCACGGCTAGCGCAATGAGGCGCAGATGAAAAAACAAAGTAAATAAGTGAAGTAGCGTTGTTGATAGCTGGGATACGTACTTGATTTAAGTGAGGCAAGAAAAATGCACTTCGAAACTGTTCCATTTCATTCAACGTGCTACACTGATTCGGTTTGTAATTGCTGAAGAAAAAGATTTCCGTAGTTTTTTTTTTTGCAAAAAAAGAAAATTAAAAAGTAGAAAGAAGAGAAACATTAGATTTCTCCAGAATAGTGAAATAAGAATGTTGTGCAAATTTATCTATATTTCATCTATGAATTGCTCTTCAAGGATCTATCAGTCCCTTATCCATATCTTATCCATACGTTTTCTAAAATTGTGAGTTTTTCGGATTCCCTCCTCGTTTAAATTAGCTCTTTTGTTCCATCTTTTCATCGAAATATTTAAAAATAAATTACAAATATTAATTATTCTGATGAAATGAAATCAAAATATTCATCAAAACTTACCAGTGATATGCACGGAATATTTTCGTGAGCTCTTTGTCGTCGTAGATCAGATTTGATAAGAGCTTAAAAAGATATAAATATTTCCTAGAAAGCGATCTTGATTGATAAAGAAAGGTACTGCATTATTGCTTTTAATGAATTAAAGTCTCTGAATCAATCAAGCAGTATAGAAGTATAAAAACTAACCTGTAAGAAAAGTTCCGACGATTAGAAATCCCGTAAGTGTTAAATTGCTGGCAAAGACACTACCTAGTTCAAGAATAAAACCAACACATAAAGTAAGCACTATGCCAAACACCTATAAAGCAACTTTTCTGGAATTTTTTTTATAATTTATAACTATTTAAAGTAAATTATGATTATTTAAAATAATAATTATTTTTAAAAGATGTTAAAGAATTGAAATTAAAGTTAACAAGTTCAACCATACAAGAAAAACGAGAGAAAGACATATTCTAAGGAAAATTAAAATAACCTGAGCAGAAGCATTTAAAAGGCCTGATGCAGTTCCCTCAGCTATTGGAAAAGTTAGCTCTGATGCAAATTCAAAACCGATCGGTAAATATCCAGTCATGAAAAACCTGTAAACTAATTATTTGAAACAGTTGCAATTTCGTTAATTAACTTCTTCACAACAGCGATGCGGCGTGCCGTTTACTTTAAAATTAGAACACCATACAAACTGTATAAATGGTTGTCAGACGTTTGTTCAACGATTCATTGCATTCATCGATTGCGCATCTTGACAATTGATAAGCTTAGCAAATAATGTGAAGCGCAACTCACTGCAGCAGGTATGCAATTATCACTTCATTCGTCATTTTTTTCATGGTTCATTGAGCCATTCTTAACTTTTGCTCTTCGATGAAGCACTTTTACACCAACAAGACATAATAAGTAGATTTTGAAAAATACCGCTTTCATGATGAGTTTGTTCTTCTTTTTTTTTTCATTAGAAAATATTTCGGAGATTGATATGGATTATTTCTACATATATTTTATTTTGCTTATGAATTTCAAAGCCTAAATTATAATTTCACTTTCATCTCATGGAACATAGAAACAATAAATTTTATAGAAATAATAAACAGAGCTTGATATTGGACTGAGGTTAATTAATGCATGTTCTTTATTTGATTTTATCAACTATTGATGAATTCTTTAGGTTTGTGAATTCTCTTTTTTCAAAAAAAAATTATTTTCTTTTAGTAATTTGCAGAATTTCATTTTCATGTGCTCTTCAAAGAAGTTTTACTTTCCAATTATAGTCTTCCTGTTCGGCTATCATATTAGACAAAGGATCACAATGAATGACTCAGATTTGACAGACTGACGTTCAATCATATCCGACGTATACTTGCAGCATCAGTTTTTATTGCATCTGAATTTCCGGCTACTTTTGTGTTGAGTTTATCATTCCCTTTTTCATGAGCACTGATTAAACTTCTGATTTCCACTAAAAATTCTATAAAATTTGGATCAAAGCTCAAAGTTTACAGATTACTGCAAATCATACCCGAGAAGTATGGAGCTTCCATAAATACACCACATCTGCGCAACATCTACCAAAAATGTGAACAGGAGCATGCCCACTGCGCAGAACAAATATACAACGAGAGTTGTCAGTCTGAAAAAACAATTCATGCTAAATTAAAGGCTCAAACACTTTATAATTATGCATCCTGTCAATTCCTTCTTTTTTCAAAATGACAGGTTAAAATTCTAATTTATTACAGGGCAATTTTTCCAATCACTTGCTCACTTATTTACTCTTTTAGCAAAAATTTAACTAGCTAAAGTTAGTTCATACACGATCTGAATATTGATTAATCTTAAGTGTAATTACAGATGAATTTTCATGTCAGTTGATTAAAAAAAAACGAAGTGGAAGTGAAACAGGATAATATTAAAACAATCAGATCAAATCAGAATTTTCTGATAAGTCTTTTTCTCCCATCCGTATGTGATAATATTGCAAGCAACAAGGAAAATGTTGTAATTCGATAGCACTTGGCAAACTTAAATTTTTTTACAAAACATTTTTTAAATTGGTAAATGAAAATGAAAAAGCTACTTAAACTGATGAAAACGATCTAGAATGAAACCACACACCACTGAACCAATCATTCCTGCTAATACCAATAGCAAGCCAATCATTCCTGTAATCCTATGATTTTAATAAATAGTTGTAATATTCCGATCAAACGAAAAAAATTTTTTTTAACAAAAAATATTTCTTGCTTTTTATTCAGTAGTTACAATATTTTTATATAATTTCATGATTTCAAAATAAGTTTGTACACATAATGCACCTGCACTTTCTTGTTCATTGGGATGAAATATTAGTATCATTTGACTGAGCACTGTTGACACGGCGTAAAATACACCAACATTGACTCCTTAAATAAATTTTTACAAACAATACTTACTGTCATATATCTCGTGCCTTTTTTTCTAAAAAAAAGCTCTTTTTTAAAGTCTTTGAATATTTGTATTTTTTAATCTTGCAAATAAAAGAAAATGTTCAATAAATGGTAATAGATAACTTGCAGTGCATGCTTCATCTTGCTATATGTGAAAACTGCAAACTGTGGACTTTCAAACCAAAACGATGGCATGCGTACCGTAAGTAATGAAAAGAAGTATAAAATTAGGATTTGTCATTAGTTGCTTCAATGAATTATAATAATTTTTCTCGCTGGTATCGTCCAGGATGCGCAGCTGTGCCAAACTTGGTGGCAAGAGTGGTTTTTTCGGAAATGCTAAAAAAAGAAAAAGTTTTTTTTTTCGATAATTTTGACACATAAAAATTCCATAAAATAAAACAGTGAAGAATGGAAATTAAACCAAAAATAAAGTATGAATTAGAAATAATTGAATTTGAAGTGACCGTGTGCAAAACAATATGCAATAACAACCGATTTTAACTACGACTTGCACCAATAACATTGAAAGCAGTCAAAAATATTGCTAAGTTAATTTCCTACTTTTAATTAAAAGAATGGAAAGAAAAACTTACACAATACGATTAACAGGAAAATGATAGTATTGGCAACGACTGAAATGAGAAACAACCGAATCAAATCATTGGCAATAAAACCTTTCGCACCCATATGAACCAAAACAGGGGGAAGTACAAAACCAATTGCAATGCCTAACTGAAAGAAATTTGGAAATTTCTCAGAAAATTTTTCAAAATGGATTGTTTATTTTAAAAAAAGGCTTATTTCCACTTTTTTCCAAAAAAAGGCTTATTTTCTAAATATCTATTATTATATTTAGAGAAATCATTACTGATACTTTCAGTTTCTCAACGTCCTAAGCTTGCTATCGACCTCACCTTTTTAAATTTTTTCAAATTTTAAATTTATTTACTCAAGATGAAGTGACATACTTGATTGCCGAAGACACCGATTGAGCACGCTGTGGAAACTTGTTCTGGACCGAACCATACAGCAGCCAACCTTGATGGTACACCCAAGATAAACATTTGCGAAAAGCCCACGATCGTTTGTCCCAAGAATGTGATCCAGAATGCGTCTTAACTACAACAAATTTTCAGGAATTTTAAACTTCTAAAATATCTAATCTCATTAAAATTTCTCTCATTAAAATTTCCAATAAATATATTTTTGAAAGAAATTATTTATGTAGCCATACATTTGTCAATTATGTCATCTTGTTTCATCTTATTGTTAATTATTATTATGATCTAATTTGAAACTTAAATAGAGCTGACCAGGTCTTGCTGAAAACATCTTTATCCATGCTCCAATGCAATTACCAGCCGAACCAAGTATTAATGATATCCGTAAGCCATATTTGTCAAGAACCCAACTGGAAGTTCATTGCTTATATTTAAATTTATTTTAGGCATTGATATCGCTTGAAAATTTGGGCATATATTGGAAAAATGAAGAAAGCAGTCAGAATTGAAAACAATTACAATTATTATTGATTGAAGCATCATTGAAACAAACCTTGCGGGAAGTACGAAGATGATATAAGTAAGCATGTAAATCATTGAAGTCCAGTTGACAGCAACATATGAGACTGAATAGAATTCGACAATGATATGCGCAATGACGGAATATTCAATCCATTGCATCGCATTTGAGGCTGACAGGATGGAGAAAAGCAATAATATATAATATCGTCTTTTGTAGAGATGAATCTGTTCAGGTTTCAATGCACTTTGGGAAGCACTTCCTTTCACTTTTGATGTTTTTTGATCATTTAACTTTTCCATCTCTTTCTTTTTTCCTCAAGTTCTAAAAACTGAAATATTTGAGTACCCAATTCAATTATTTAGCATATGAACTGTCAACAATTGAAACATTATCGCTGTGAACGAAAACAAAAAGAATAATTAAAAAGTTTGCGAAATTTAGTTTAAATATGAAAACAAAAGAGAGAAGCAATATATCTCATAGAATTACAAACATTTTTTAGTTGCATTTGAAGAACTATAATTTTTACTGTTTATCTATTTTTTGCATACATTCCACTTTTAATTGTGTGTCATTCATTAACTGCAGAAAAAAACTTGAAATGTGTACACGACAAAAAAGAGATGAATTAAATTGTTTATTATTTCAAATAATACCAAATGACATTTCTTCCTTTCCAAAAATTTAATTTCTTTTCTTTTATACGATCTCTCAAGTTTTAACAAACGCTGTTTTTTACTCTGTTCAAACAAAGCAAGTTCTCCTTCAAAAAAAAAGTAAAATCATTTAAAACGCAATGCTTAAAAATATTCAAATCTTAAGCAATATAAGAAAAATCTTATTTAAAACGTACAAAAACGTTAAATTGTGATAAAAAAGAAACACATGAAAATAAATTTTTGTGGCGAAAGAAGAAAAATGCAATTAATTAATGTTCATACCATAAGAATTTAAATCACTTCCTTCCTTTAACAAAATTTAACAATTTGACATTCCTTCATTTAACACTTTTAAATCTATTAAAAGTGCATGAATATCGAAATAAATTCATCCGGCAATCAAATGTATCAAATTTTATATTCGTCTATATTGGCAGTTATATAAATGAAAAAAAATTTTGAATAACATCATAATTTGCTCATTGGATGCTTCTTCCATTCATTAACATCGAGAACCGAAAATTTCTCATCCTACATTTATTGTTTGAGAAACTTCCGACTAATTTTATTCATTCCAAAATATTTTTATAAGATCTTAAATTGCATATTTACAAAATTTTCTTTTGTACACCTAAATAAATTTTCTATTACCTAACAGTTCCTAAGCAAGTAATTCTTAAGATTTAATAATAGTGATACTTTTATCAATGAATCTTAAAGTCTTAGAACTAAATATTCTGACTTATTGCCAACACAATTTTTCACTTAATATTGCGATAAAAATGTAGGAGATTTGAATTGAAGGAGGAAAAAGCTTGAAATTGAATTTATATGCAGCATGTGCTAACAGTTCTGAAGCATTTATCAGAGCCTTATGAATGCCATCCAAATGATTGAACAGTGATTGGGATTGAACAACTTTCAAATCTAAAAAAAATCTAAAATTTTTAGGAACATGAAAGATATTTTTTACCCAAAAAATTGGAGTAAAGTTCATCCTCAAATGATTTTTCATATATTTTCTCTCCTCCGATCATTCTTTTAATTATTTCTCAAAGGCTTTGTTTCCATATATATATATATATATACGCAGATACACACAGACACAGACATACGCAGACACAGACATACACAGACACAGACATACACAGACACAGACATATTACTGACACACAGATACATACACGCACACACATCAAACCATCAAATAATTTCGTATTCATTAAAAAAAATACTTCGCCTCATATCTCCTCAATACTCCTTCCCTTCTGAATTGAGCAGAAGTGTGCAGAGAGTTTATGATGTTTGTTGAAGGTGAAAAACGATGTAAATGATCGGCAAAGATGATGTAATGATGTAAAAAAATCGGCATGATGTAAATGATCGGATCCCAAAACCTAATCAGCGATCTGATGGAACGATACGATATCAGAGAGTGCATTCCATTGAAAGACGCCTCATAACATTAACGGTGAGACAAAAGTTATTACTGCAGTAATTGTCACGTGAGTGACTGTTGGTAGTATGCACTCTTTACCTATCCTAGAATTGTAGAAGCTGTGGATGGATGGATGGATGGATGAAAGAGGCAATTGTGATAGCTTAGAGAAAAGGGTCTAAAGTAAAGGGGAATGGGTGGTTATATACACATTTGTCGTATACTTCAAAGCCTGGCAGTGTTTTGTTGGAGACACTCCTGCCTGACCCTTTTTTGCTCCAGCTTCTTATCTTTGCTTCATTTTTCTTCCCCTCTCTCTCTCTCTTTCTCTTCGAATTCACAAATTTATAGAAAATTGGCAAAAGTGCGAAGAAATGGAATATTGGAGGATATAGATGAAGGATCAAAATGAATTCAACCAATTTACTTATCTAAATTTTCAATGAAAAGAAAAGCAGAAAAATTTCTCAAAATTTTCGTGAAAATGAAATAGTTGTTTAAAAATTTCATTGTGTGCATTACTAGTAAAAAGCAGATCACAAATCAATCTATTCTAAACTTATCACCAATCTCATATCACAATTACATTTTCGAAATCATCTGGTGAACTCGAATTAATGATATTAATTCACAAATGAATTAAAAAAAAATATTTAAAAGATAGTTCCCTAAAATCATTTTCTATTTAATTTCCTATTGCAAAAATGGTAAAAAGAATAGTTAAGGCAGTGATGTTAAAATATATTCCTCGGAGAGGAATATATTTTACATGCATTATTCATATGGAGATAAAGCTATGCAAAATCGAATATTCATTATCAATTTTCTTTTAATATTACAAATGGCACTGATTGGATATGTCAAATTATTTCAACTATCATTACATATGTCCCTGATGGACATATCATCTCTGATAATTAATGATCTTAAAGAAGAAAGTTCAATCGTGTAGATGATAAAGAAAGATATAAATCATTTGTTGAAATCATAATTCAAAAAGTGTCGATAGCTGCTAGCATGTTCATTTTATTGCCACTAAGCAGAACATGTGATCGTTTCAATTGCCAAATCAATAAACAGATGATGACGGTGATAGTGGTGATAGCAATAATAATGACAATGAAAACGCAAGCAAATGATATCCTATCGTTGAATGAATTTATTTTATGCATATTCCCATGTATATTTATATCGAAAAAGAGATGCAAACATGTTTTAATTATTATGTTATGAGAAAATTTTCTGGAAATATATGGGAACTGGCAAAGAAATAAAGCAATTTGATACATTTTGAAATTTTAATTAAATTTTTAAACTAACAAATAAGTTAATGAAATTATAATCAGTAAATATTTGAGTGAGAGCGTCACTGAATGGTGCATCTCGTATGAAAGGAATAGTTCAGAATTCTGCTATTTCATGCTGCTGCTGTGAGCATTGCATTCTTTTCTTTTGCTGTAAAATTGAATGGAATGATGAATGAATGAGTTTTGTGATTAGCACAGCCTGAAATGAGTCACTGTTATTGTGATTGTTGGAAAACGAAATGATATTTTCACTACAATAGTTCTTTGTTTTCTGTTATTGCTACTGTTGAATTTATTGTAACATGCAATCTTAACTTACATCAAAAAAGAATCTGAAATTACTAAAAAATTACAATAAAAAATAAAATTTAATTAAAAAAAATGTTGCTTAGTTGTCATATGGAAATTTTTTCCTTTTTTTAAAATTATTCTGTTTTGTACGAAAGGAAACGAAAAACCTCTGTCATTGTTACAAAATTTTTTCCTGCCTGGTTTTTTAAAATTTTTCATCCATTTATTTAAATAAATTAAAAAATGCAAATTTTCTTTATTTCTGAAAACAACCAAAATCGGGTGAAAATGGAATATTTTGTAATGTATGGAAAGATGCAACAAGTACAACTCAGCCAAACTTCTCTAAAAGATTGAAGAGTTCAATAAAGTGATCAAACTGTAAGATTACTTGTACATGCATTGCGCAGTGATCTAAAAAATGTAGAAAAAATGACTAAACTGTAAAATTACTTGTACACGCATCCCCAGAAATCGACCATTTAACTATCCAATTCTCGACGAGAAATATTCATAAATGAATTTTTTCTTTATAGTGCATCAATTTTAAAGTAAATCGATCTGGCAGCTTATTTTCAGTATTGTGTTTCCAATATGGTAATATGTAATGATGCGTTTGGATATGCTCCTTACCAGTCAAGTTTGAGAATTTCTGCTTACTTCTCGGGTTTAAATATGAAAGATGAATTGTTTTTTGTGCAACACTAATGGATTTGCAAGTTGTCATGTCAAAAATACATAACCAGTCGAGATCGCAGAAAATCGCAGATGAGGAATAATATCGGGAGATTTGAAACAATATAAAAAGCAAACACTTTATAGTTGACAATTTTAAAATTTTGGAAATATTTGTTAGACTGTCTTAACCGAATTTAAAATAATACAGTCGAATAAATTTCCATTATTTTTGGTAAATAAATTCATGTATGTTAAGATGCAAAAAGACTTTTTGAAAATATTAATTAATGGCAGGTAAAATAGTAATCCTCAAACACCTGATGGAAGATTTTTTGCATCATTAAAGAATTTCATCTAACGTAAATTATTTTTAACTAATTACTCCTTGAAAAAAAAAACTATTGATAAGTAATAAAACACAACAAAGTGGTAAAAAACAAAGTTGTAAAAAAAAAGTACTTGGGTGATAACAATTCAAGTTTTAATTGCAATATTGAGCAATTGAAAAACTAAACTCGATTTTGTTTTTGATAAGCCATGGACAATGATAAGACTTTTAAGTCAACAATTCATTTTTCTCCAAATTGTCTATTATATTTCATTCTCGAATAGTTCTAAATTGTTTCAGAACAAATAACGATTAATAATTCGGTTAAAGATTACAAAGTACGATAAGAAAATACGAACTATTTTCAATACAATCGTAAACAGTCGATAATGTCAGTTAAAGCTAATTTCATTGGACGGATCATTTTAAATTATCTCATTTTTAATTTTTTTAAACAAAATTTATGTTTTAAGGTTCACCAGAGCATAAATTTTGCAAATTCCACTGGTCTTTTAACTTTTGAAAACATTGTAATAAAATCAAAAAAAAAAACCAAGACTGTAAGTGAGAGAAGGCAAGAACTTGTTTTCGTAAACAGTAAATGCTAAATGTAAAAAACTTTGACCTGAGTTATGAGGTATAATCATCAAGAGAAGAAAAAACAGAATAAAATTATTCATCAACCGTATTTGTTGATTGTCAATTGGGGTCACCTAGCAATCAAAGATTTTAACTTGTTATTATTTAAACTTCCATTGTTATTGTAAAATCTGATGCAATTTTGTTATTTAGTTAAGTATGTAAGTTGAAGCACTTCTCAAGTACTGCATTTACTTGTGTGTTTTGGTGATCTTTTATTAAGTGCTTTGAATTTTGATGCTGTATATGGTGAAAAAACAAGTTTTTAAAAATGTAAGAATTCCATCAAACTAAAATTAGCTTTTCAATTTTTCCTTCTCTCAAGTTATGAGGAAAACTTCACTTTCACTATTCTGCACAGCTTTTTACGAAACTTTTACACTTTTGTTATGAAGCAGATTTATTCCATACTTATGATATAGGAAATAAAAACACCATGGAAAAAGCAAACAAAAATTAATATTTGAAAGTTGAAACAAATAAAAATTTTAGAAATTTGAGCATTTCCGTGCATGCTGCATCATATATAATTTCATCTTAAAAGTATGATATCGGACATTGCTTACAAAAAATAATAAAATTTTTGGTAATAATTATCACATTTCAAATTTTAGTAGCATGTCATGAAATATATTTTCTGATGTCATAATTGATTTAACCATAAATGATTGAGAAAATTAAAGAATCGATTCACTGACTAAAAATCACGCCACCTCAAATTTTTTTACCAGTATTTAAATATTATGTGTAAGTATTAAACAGTAATTGCTCAAATTTGTTTTTTTTTTAAAGCAAACATAAAAGGACAGAAGCAACTATTAGACAATTTGTACATTCAGGAAAGATCCGAAAAGCTTACGATCAGAAATCACTTGCAAATTCGATTAATTCCTTCGATAATTTCATCACACTCGTTCTTGTTGAATATTTTCAATCAAAAAGCACAGAGATAATGAATTATTTATTCACCCGATCTTAAAATCAAGAGAAACAAGTCAAATTCACATTAATTTTAAAATTTTAAACATTTCTGTATTTCATATATTACTATATCATTTATTTCACTGTTGTCTTCATTCCTTTCTTGTTTCCGTATTGTTCTAAAACTTAAAGAATTCAGATAAACATGTGATTTTTCGATTTTATTCCTGAAATCTGACAAGGAAAGAGTGATATTTAAAAGGTAAATTTTTATAGCAATAACAGAAACATCCATGATTAATAATAATAACAATATTGATATTGATAGGCGGGGAACAGCAAGAAAAAGACTGATCTATCGAATAATATGAAATGTCCAGTGAAAGTTTCATAATCGATAAACATTACGTCTAATAATTTAAATCATCAAAAGTATTTCGTTTGTATTTCGTCACGGATAATTTTGGGATGAAAAATTTTTTCCATTCTAAAATTCGAACTAAGAATATGCTTGGGGAAGAGTAAGCTGATCGATATATCTGAGGAAGAGTAAGTTGACCGATATATCTGAGGAAGAGTAAGTTGACCGATTGAGTTATAGAAAATAATTGGAGAGAATAGGTCTTGTGTGCAATAAAATAAAATGTATCGTTTCCTACTTTTTGAGGTTACATATCACTTCGTCGTTACGCATACACATACACACACACACACACACACACACACACACACACACACACACACACACAGTCGATCCCATTATGGGGTACATCAAGGTCGCTTTCGTCCTTCTCTTGCGCTCTTGTTATTTTAATCGGCTGTCGCCTCTTGTATGGACATCAATCGAATATGATGTTCCGGTCCTTATTTGTCCAATCATTCCTCATAACTTTCACATTTTCATCAGGTAAACCACTTTTTACTAAAGTTCATGTTATGAGAATGATGTCAAAGTTACCTAAGAAATTTAAATAGCGCAGAAATTCATTTAGAGTAGGTTGAAAAAAATAAAAATGATAGTGCTTAGAATGAGGTTATTGAGCTTTCTTGAAAATACGAAAAAAAAATGTCATATTTATAGCAAATCACACTTACTGTAGCAAATAAATACCATTCGCAGAAAGAGTTCATTTGTTTCAGCTTCATTTTCCATCTTTGGAATGGGAGAATTTCAGGTTGCTGTTTAGATGTGGTTGAAACAGAGACACCAATTTTACATGAAGTTGGTAAGAAACGAAAACTTGAAGATAGCATACCAGTAATTGAAATACGAGGTGAAGGCCAACCGATGACCGCAGCGCAAATAAGACAGCTTGAAGAAATGTCAAATGGTGGCCCACTTGATATAAAGGTTAGGGATGATGATCAATCTTTTTTGCAGAAAAAAATACATATTTTCATGCCAACATTCACAGTTCTTCCCATTGCTATTTCTCTCAGTACTACCATTTGATTAAAAATTTCTCGTTTTTTCATGTATTGATTGATTTATCGATTATCGGATAAATGATTTAAAAGAAATTTATTTTGTTTTTCATCGTAACCATCGTATTTTAACTTATTTTGCAATTTTGTTTATATTTAATCTATTTATTTGAAGTTTTCAAATTTATTCATTTGGATGAATCTAAGATAAATTATTTCAGGTAGAGAAGACATGGCGACCAGTGGACTGTCCACATGCTGCGAAACGTAAAGATTTTATAACTTTTCACTATAAGGCGTTCACTGAAGTTAATAAAAAGTGTGATCAGACGTATGGACGTGAACCAATTCGAATACAACTTGGCGTAGGTATGATAATGCCTGGATTAGACAAAGGTATGCGTGGGATGTGCGACACTGAATTGAGGAAAATTCAAGTCCCATATCGACTAAGTCGGAAAAAGAAAAGCAAAAGTAAGCTTAATGATGAATATCAGTAAAATAATTGATTTTAAATTATCGTTCTCGTGCTCTTTGCTTATTAAAATTAAATTTATTCAACTGAATATATGAATTTTCTGAATTGGCTGACAATGATTTACTGATAATCTCAAGTGTTCAGTCATTCTTTCTATTGCATGCGAGCAAAATGATTAATACCTCGCAAATATTGCAATGAGATGATAAGTGGCAGATACTTTCTGATGTGTTTTGTTTTGCTTTTTATATCTCATCAACTTTTTATGTCTCATCAACTGGAAATTACCTGATTACACGACTGTCATTAATTGAGCAAAATAATGGATGGATGAGTCAATAGAAGGTGTAATTTAAACTGTCATCCATTGCACATTGTTTCAATTGCTATTTGAAATTAATTTTTCAGTATGGAAAAATATTCCCAATGATGAGCATTGGCTCACTTTCAACGTTGAAATGCTCACGGTTGAGCCATGGTCACTCGATTTACAATTCAACTTTTTGGACATGAACAACGATACAGTAATTACTGAAAATGAGGCGACTTAATTAATATTATAAAATCAACGCAGAAAATCACCATTTTTCTTACCAATTACCAATTTATCACTCCTAAAAAAATTAGCAATGTTGTTTTTTAATCAGACAATAATTTATGCAAACCGATGACGATGATATTCATTTTTTTCATTAAAATCTATTAATAAGTACGTTTTTGTTCATTAGAAGAACTGCTTTGTTGTAAAATTAAAATAAGTTTTACTCGAACCAAATAAACCAAAAGAGTCGGATTTTATTCCTACGAATTTTATTTTTGAACCAAAAGTTCTATATTACCAAGCACAAAAATTATTCCTATTTTAAAATAATGTTTTAGTTGGTTAAATTTCAAGAAAACCTGAAGAAAAATTTTGGCAAAACATGGAGCAATGAAAATATTGATTATGTAATTGCTGCCAAATATTATATCAGGTAGTCTTCAAATGTTAAATTTCATTTTTCAGCAATCCGCAATCTAGGCTATTTCGAACATTTTACGCTGCATGCAATTCTATAATTAATGATCGAACAACACTAAGTTACAATAATTGAATTTGCAAGTGTAGTAAAAAATTCTTCACAGATATTTTGATATTGATGGAAATGGGCGGATAGATTTGAAGGAATTCCGTCGAGTGATGGGACGCGATATGGCAATAATGGCTGCAGTAGCGAGTGATAAAAAGGTGGAAGGTCGGAAACGGGATCCGTCCATTGCTTGGATTTTAGATTTTAACAATGATGGCATTGTTTCTGTCACGGTAGATTATTCTTAGTATTATTTTATAGTGAATTAATGAATTAAGACTAAAACCAACTAACTGCAAAATAACTTCTCACTTTTTTATTGCAGGAAATTGATCAAGCTGATGAGATACTTCAAGGCGAACCAGTCGTTCTACCGATATTTGCCAGAGATGAGCTTTAAAATTTGACGCATCAAATAACTAACTTATTGCCATGGAATGGAATCTAAACAAATTGTAAACTAAGTGATATCACGATAATAGCAATTTCTGGCTACAGCGAAAATTCTGGAATATACTCATGTTCTATGCTATTTCTAGACATTATTCACTTCTTTAAACTATATCTTCTGAGAAATTTTAAATTAGAAAAAAAAGCGAAATTTATATTAAACAATTAAATAAAATGCAAATTTTCGATTTTGTTTGAATTTCATTTATTTTGAAATTAATGTTTGTGATAGAAATGATTATGTTGAATTTTTTTCAGGAATATAAAAAAATTGAAAAGTGTTAAAAATTGATTACCTTCTTCCTCCTTTATAACTATTAGGTCAACTCATGAAGAGTGTTAACGTTCAACAGTATTTTTATACTATAATCAGTATATTAAAAGTTGAATTCAATAACTAGTAGTCGTATCAAAACAATGACAAAGGAATCTAAATTGATCAAAATCATTTGATATGTCAGTAATAAAGCAAATCAGACTCTCACTGCCAGTTCATATGAATGTTTTAAAGTTGAAGAAGATTCATCGATTTAAATATCTCCGATCAGTTTACATTTAAACAAAATAGCATACTGGACTAGTCAGATGTGCAAAAAAAGTAATGCTACATAATCTCATTGAATTTAATCGAACTAATGCCGTTTCTCTGGAAAGGCAATATGCAATTTACACTTTCCAACAAAAAAATATGGCTCAAATAGCAAGTTCCCAATATTGATATATGAGCTGCAGTTGACGATTAATAATTATTCTAAGATAATATCTCCTATGATAGTAACTGAGATAATATCATTCACTTCAACTAAATTATATAAATTGTTTTTACAGCAGTATTTAATTGAATCTTTTTTTAATAGGAAAACCTCAAAAAAGAAACAATTCTGGAGAAAATTTGCGTATAAATATATATATTAATTACCGTGTTTTTTTGCAGACAATTTTGGACGAAAGGCATTTTGTACATCGTAAAATCATAGAATTTTCCATATTTTGAAGATTTTCAATTCTTTCAAATGAAAAATTGCTATTCATTTCAATTTTGGTTTATTAACGATCTTTCAGTAAAAAAAAATTCTAATGAAAAAGGCTATGATGTATTTCTAAAATTAGAAAAATATGGTCATTTTACTGTATTGATTTTAATGTGTGTTACATTAACATTGATATATTTGAAAATACTAGCGTAAAAATTTATAACACATAATTGGAAATTTTCAGTTTGTCATATCACTTGTGCTAAACGACTTTTTTAATTTCGATTAAAAAATTAAATAAATTACTTTTCTTTTTTTGTTCTGTATTATTTGTAAAAGTACAAGTTACAGGGTGTCGAGGACGTTCTTGTAATGCAATGTTTAACCATCCGACGCGTTTTTTTTTTTTTAAAAATAAAATTAAATGTTTTATTCTGATGGCGTCAAAAATTTATTTGATTGCTTTCAATCTTACTAATTAATATATTTGGCATAATAAAACTTTTCAAACATTTCTTGTAAATATTTGATAAAATTCAATTCAACTATCCTTGCATGTTGACAAGGCAGAATAAAATCAAAAAAGACTGAACCCGTAAATGAAGTACTGAGTGAATGATATCATGTGGTAAAAAAGCTGTCGATATTCGGAACTTTCACATTCGATGAGGAGGAGCTACTGGAGATTCCAAATTCAATGTCCAATGATGCAAGTGGTGCATGCCTCTCGAATCCTTCCACAATTATACAACTGTCTCGAGTAAGCGGCCTAATATCGGTAGCAGAGTGAGTAATATCAGTGATAGCAGTAGTTGCAGAGGGATTAATAGTAACAACAATATTACTGCTATTATGCTCATTATCGCTACTTCTCCTGAAATTGGTGGTATTGCAGCTTAGAGAATGAAGTAGAAATTGATTTTGTTGTGGAGAATTAACTGAAGAAATTCGGAACGGTTGTGACTTTACAGTATTCGATACCGGCATCGAAGGCGGACTATGTAATTCAACAGTCACATTTTGCCTGCAAAATATTTTGAACATTATAAAATGCCCTGTTATATACATACCGACTAAGCTTTAAAAAACTCCACAACTATTACTGACAGATGTGTTTGAATCTCAGAAGGTATTACACCACTCTTTTTGTACTTATCGATAGTTAAAAGTTAAAGTTAATCGATAACTAAAATTGTGCATTCTTAGATGAACGGTAAAAAATTAATTCAAAGATGCCTTTGTGAAAAGCAGACCAGTGGGAAGTGTGGCTGCTTGTGGAAGTGCAAGCACGACCATGATCCTGCCTATCCAATACCAAATCATTTTCGGTGTCAAATATACCACAGCAATAATTATCAAAATATCGTCCGCATAATTTCCTATAATTTTTTTCCTTGAATAAGCAGTACACTTTATTCGAGAAAATTTACAGAAATATTAATAATATTGCTTTAGGTTACTTCGAAATTATCAGATTTTCAGCAGTTTTCTACAACTGTTACAAAACTTGTAGAATTGCATTGAAAATTGAATTTTAAATCAAGATTTGATAGGATTTCAGCTGATCATGTATAGAAATTCTGATAAAGAATTTCAAATAAGTTCATTGTTGACTGAACAGAGTTCAATGTATCCTATCACAAATCTATCTAATGAATGTTCGAAAAAATTTTGACCTATTATCAATAGCATCGAGAAGCATTTGAGGTATACAAGGGGTGGAACGATATTTCCGTTGTTTGTTCATTGCTACAAAAAAGACAACATTGCCAAAAGGATAATGCAAGTAAATAATTCAACAAATGCATAAATAAACAATTAAAACGAGAAAAAAAATAAATAAACTAGCAAATGAATGAGCGAATAAAAGTAAACAAAACACCTTTTATCATTAAATATTCAAAAAGCATACTGTATATTCATAAAATTGTAATTGAATGTGCTATTAGATAAAACGTTGTATTGTAACTGCCTAGTTTTAGCATTCATAGGGGAGAATTTAAAAAAAAAAAAACTTACTTAGACTGGAATCATATCTCGACAACGGGACAGCTTTATACAGAGGTGTCCATTTACGTATCTCTTCGTTGGTCATTGGTAAACGTTTTTGTGCCATATCTTTTTGCAACAAAGATCTTTTTTTACACCGACCAACTTCTTCTACATTATGAAGTATCTACAATAAACATCGAATGAATTAAATTCCTTTCTTATTCAGCAAAAATCACATATGCCCTGTCTTTGAACTTCTGTTACAGACTTTTCCACTTAGTTTCTAAATTTATAGAAGAGGATACTCGAAATAGACGAACAACCTGCGTGTTTTTATCCCTGCTTTCGAGAGTAATAACACAGGCGACAATAAGAACAAATGAACCAATACCCATTAAAACTGGTCCGAGATATTGCAAACTTTTTAACAAATACCGCTTGGTCCAATTGGTGAAGACTTTATCAGTGCCATCATCTCTACTGTATACAATTTCCTGGAGTAATGGAATTGATCGTTTTAAATATTCTTAGGTAATCAAAATCAAAACATCATTAAAATACTGCATAAAATTGCAAAAAATTTGTAAATTTATATAAACATGAAAATATGCCGAAAAAAAGTAAAAAAGAAACACAAACCTGAGATAAATAAACATCAAAATAACCAAGAATGGTCATCAAAATGCCAAAAGTAATAATAATACCACCGAAAACAATCGCTCTGCATGCTACCCATAATGTCTGAAGGAAACTGTTTCAGGAAATTGTAATTTTGTTATTTTCAAATAATCTTAAACAATTTGTCAAACGAATTTTTTTAATAAAAATTAATTGTAGATAAAATCTTGTAGCAAGATTTATTGGCATTTTAGAATTTTTTCCAAACACATTCAGTTTTCAACCCAAATAAAATGGAATTGAATTATTTTGAGTTTTATTTGATTCCCTCTCAAATTTGATAAAACTCTAAGAAACAATCAATGAATAGTTTTAAATAATTATTAATAGCTGACCTTATAGACAATGATATTCAGATTATCAATTTTAGCGACCAACACAACTTTTATGGCAATATTAATATCATGGAGACGGATTCAATTCCTTAGTGGTTAACTAATCAATTCTACAATTATTATTTGTCGTTTGTTATGAATGAATCAACTATTTGTCATTGTATATACATTTCTCAAGATTCCCGAAAAGATAATGATCCTATATATCGGCCATAACTATTCGTGAAAAAGAATTTCCAAAATAGGAAAAGGTCAATTTGATAACATGATTTAAATAATTTATTTGATGCTGCCGCTATATCATGATCAGATGTGAAATTGAACTGTAAAGTTCAATTTCTATTAAAATGGAAAGCACATTTTAGGCTTTGGAAGATTAACCATAAATGAAGCTACTATCAGTAATTCATTAATTTTGCAGAAACAAATAGATGAATAGTTAATGAGCAAAGCAGAGAATGGAATAAGACTAATTTTGATGATGTGCTCTTAGATGTAATTAAAAAAGATATTGAAATCGATTAAGGGAGAAAAGGTCAAAGGAAAAGGGAGACAGTTTCGAATAATGTGTAGAATAAGCCGATTTGCATATGTGCATCTCTTCATTCTTACCAGTACTTTTTAAATTTGGACAAATTAAGCTATTTTCAAGCCTAACCACTTTTATTAAGCTTTTAAGTATAAGACTCATATAAGGTCAATGTTGAATCTTTAGTCTGTTGATAACTGATAATTTAGATAATATATCTGTTTAATTTGTACTTTTCTATCCAAATCTATGTGATTGACTTTCTGCATCTCATATTACGATCCGTAAAAGATCGATTGATTAGATAAATTGTTTGTTTATTGTTTATTGTTTAAAAATTTTGAAAAAAAAAAGAATAGAAAAGAAGACAAATTTAATTACATTTCAAAAAACATAAGAACTTAATCGCTCAAAAAATTAGCCAGAACTTAAATTTCAAGGATCAAAATAAACTATCGAACTGAATTAAAACCAAAAAATGTACTTTGGTGGATCTTTGAAAATTATCACTTAAGAACAATAAAATAAAAAACAAAAAAATGAGAATGACTGCTGCTGGTAAATAAAAACATTTTATATCTAAAAGCTGATTAAAAGGATTACTATGTCGTTGGATGAGAATTTTCAACCTTATCAGAGGGAAGAGGAATTAAAAAAGTCATAGAGACGGAAAGGGCAGGGATAGAATAGGAAATGGCCACTTATTTCAAATGCTATTAGGGTCGAGCCAAATTATCTCTAAAATTACTTATTCACAGTATTATTACAGAAAACTAGAGACAACATACGTTATTCCAATTCCTTTTCCCATTCATTTCAAGTACGCATACACGATCATTTTTCAGGCTTGAGTAACGATAAATCCCTAATCATGCCAAAAAAACCAGGGACCGGAAATTTCGTATTCTGTTTCGATAAACCTAATCCTAAAAAAACATGAGCAATAGAATTAAATCCTTGATTTCTTCTCTTTTAGGCTTTTCAAATTCTCACTTTAATTACATCAGCTGCCTTGTTTCTATAATTTGTTGATGACTAATAACCAATAACTTGTTCAATTTAAAAAATTTTAGAAGCGTGATTTTCAAAGAGAAGTGGTTTTACTCTGAATATAATCAAGGAAGTGATGCAACTCGTCTCTCAAGAAAAGTTATGCGCATGTCTGTCGGTTTTCTTCTTCTCATTTATTAAACATTATTTCTTGGCTTTTTAAAATAAAATAAACTAAACGTTACTTTTAATCATCAAGTAAATTCAGCAACCTACCGGACTGTACTCATTACCAGTTGCGTATCACACTCTTCCTGATAATATTACAGGACAAGAAGACCTCATTTAAATCATATTTTCATACATGGCACCACCTTTATCACAATCTTCTTAACGGTTTTCGCCGAGCAATAAAAAGTGTACCAAAAGTTTCGACTCATTAATTTGGTGATATCTGTAGTTTCTGTGATAAAAATTTCGTCGTATAACAGTGACGGTTGGATGATGGACCATCAGCCCTCCACTTGCGGCTGTAGCTCTATTTTTAAAGTGTTCAGAAAATCTCAGAATTTTCTGGCAAAAAATTGTTTTTAATAAAACACTTTTGCGTGTTGTAATTTTTGACGAGAATAGCAGAATAGATTGGATTACCACGCAAGCGACACCAGCAATCGGTACTATCTCAATCGACCACCATTTACTGTCTACGTTATATGAAAAAAATATTTGAGGTTTATCAGAAAATTCGACTTTACTGAAACGTAGAGAATGAAAAGGAATAAAATCATTCAAAATATCGATTGCTTAAAAGATGAAAGAGAAGTGGAGAGAAGGATGATAGAGAAATCAAAATAGCAGTAGATAAAATGAATATGAATGACTAGAATAGCGATATACCCAGAAATATTTACCAGCAAAATAATTTAAACTGATGCGATTTCAAACAATTTAATTACTTTGATGAAATATGAAAAGTGGAAATCGTAATAACTGCAAAATGGAATGGAATAACAAGGGGCAGAAATAAAGGCATTGCTTTTCGGACAGCATAGACTTTAGGCTTTGGAAGGAAAAAAAGAGAGGCTGAACGATTAAAGAAATAGCAAAGCCTGAGTGCATAAATTGATGTTAACAAGAATTGTTTAAAGGAAATAAAGAAGTGAAGAAATGAATCAAAAAACAAATTCGCCTCACTCGAAACGCTTCTTAACGTTATAATTCTGTTCCACATGAATTAATTGATAGAAAAATATGTAAATTAATATGTTTTAAGCAATGTAAGTCTTTTTCAGATGTATTTTAAGTTTTTAGGAAAAATTTTTGGTTAAAATATGTACTGATAATCTTTGATCTTTAAAATTATAAATAATATTCTTTATTATTTATAATTTTAAGTTGTGGATCACAATAAGCTTAATCATTCGAAAAAAAGTAGAATTTCTTTACATTTTATGTTTTGCAGTTTGATACATTAAAATTGCTTATTTCATTTGCAGATGTCACTCTTTCTTTTGTATTAAATGGTATTAAATAAAAGAAAAGCACAAGGATTGAAAGAAAGTGAAAAATTTTTACACTTTGAAATAGCCAGTGGTAACTGTTCCATGAGCCATAGAGGATATTTTCATTTTCCATTATTGAAATAAAATGCAAATGCTGGAATAACAAAGAAAATTCAGAAAAATTAAAAGCTTACGCTTCTTGTTCTCCTTGCAGCAAAAAAAGATTTTATCACTATTTGTTGCATTATTTCATTGCATTGCTTGCAATAACGTATATTTGAAATAAAAATAGCTAACGAGCAATCATTTTTCATCAACAAAAAATCACACACTCCATCACCGATATGTCATGTGTCCACCAATTGGACATTACTATTCATCAATCCTTCTAAACACATTTTGATTGCATTCTGAGATCAGATAGCAGCACCTAGATGATTTTTTTCATAAAAAAGAATGTGCCAAAGTGGTGATAGGTTGTTGAATTGATGCAAATTGAAAATATAAGAAGGAATAGCAAAGAAAGAGAACGAAATCATGCTAATAGAGAGAGACAGAGAGAGAGAGAGAGAGAGGGAGAACGTGAAGTGAAAAACAATCCCATTGATCATTGATCGCAGTGATTAGTTGATTAGTTTAAAACTATATTGAATTGCATTTGTAGCTACTAACCAGTCTATCAATTTCGCCTAAGTAAAGAATTCAGAAATTATGCATTACATTATTGAGGAATGACTATTCTTTCATCAGTTTACCTTTCTTTATCAATATTGAGCACACGAGAAGTAAGCAAATACAAATTACATAAATTTATGTTGAAATAAAATATTTTACAAGACATACATAGTGTAAGATTTCTTTAAAATTCATTTAGTTCAACAAGTTTGAACAAGTTCTAAATGTTATGCTTGGAAGTGTGAAGTACTCGTGCCTTTCAGCAAGTAAACACTTAACGGAAAACGATGAGAAAATTTGAGTGCATGTAAACTGATATTGTTTGAAAAATAATAAATACTTTTATTTTTATTGTTAATTTTCACACTTTATAAATTATTGTTCAATAACACTTGAAAATTTTCGATTTCTTTCCAGAATTTGAAAAAAGGAGAACTTTTACATCACTGGTAGGCAAGTTTGAGATCCGCATCCAAAATAAGTATGGCACACTTCGAAAGCACTTAATTGGTACAACAAATAGGTGAATTTAGGGTGACATTAGCCATCTGAGACCAGACAGACCAACGAGAAAAGAAGAAAGACATTAGATGAAGATGAAATTCGATTTTCGGTCAACATATGAAAAGGAAGAAGGAATCGAAAGAAGAGATCTTAATAGAATTTACTCTGTATAGACCGAACTGTTGAGTAAATAGACGATGAAACATGGAAGCATTTGCTCGGTACCGCTTAGTGAAAAAATTGATAAAAATGTGAGAATGGATGGTAGCAACATTTAAGCTAGGAAAATAAATATGTAACAGATGAATAAGCTAGGATCGAGGAAGCAAAAGCCTAAAATACTTCAAATGTAAACATTTCTTTCCATTATTTCATTTTAACTAAAATAGTCTGCCTCTTTTAATGAATAGAAGATAATGGAAATAGATGTTACACTTTTTTAATATAGTCAAAAAATAGAAATGATTCATATAAAACATTTGATTATGGACTTTAACGGATGTTGTCTGAATGGTAGTGAAAGGTTACTCTAAAAATAGTCCTAATTTCAATAGAGGGAAGAAATGTTTACATTGATGGGAACTAAATGAATGACTTCCTCATAAGAGAAATGCATCTGCTCACCTTTCAATTTCTGTTTACTAAGGAAAAATGATGGATTACTGTGTGAAGGGTTCGAAATATAGAAAAAAGTTCCAAATGTTATGATTTTAATTTTTGCGCATTTTTTTCAAGGCCTTGAATTGAACCTTTGCAATTCTTTGCTATCCACGAACGTTATAGTTTGAAATTAGAGTAATTCACCAGTAAGTGATGATAAAGAATTCGGAAAAGTGCCGTCATTCAACCAGGAAGTAGTATGGAATTTTGACGCAAAGAGAATACGCGGCAATGAATTAGTGATAAATACAATCCGTGAATAGTCAAATATGAGGCAGAATCATGTGTGAAATAGAATAATTACGTGATGATCAGTACCATTCAATCTATCATACTGGAAGGGTCAATTTTCACGGGATATTTCGCAAACTCATTTTGCAAAAAGAAAATGCAAGAGATGGATAAGTTGGGCTCACTTTTCATAGTGCTTTAGTCTTAGTGATCCAAATGTGGCGAAACATTGCAGGGCCACAATGAGGATGATTGGAAGTATTGGTGGGGCATGTTTGTGTGCTGTCGTAGCTTGATAAGGTCAAGGGTGTGCTTTAGGAATGCACTGAGGACGTACTCGAAGTGTAATTTGACCCCGTATGGGGGGCAGACAAGATGCATTGAATTTCACTTTTTCTTAACTCAGTAGTCATAAGAAGTACAGTATCCAGTATTGATCAAAGGATTACAGGGAAGGGCAATGCATTATGAAGAGAAATCTGGCCAGTGGATGATTATTTTAAAGATTTTTGTTAGCAAATTATGGTTGTAATGAACCTAATTGTAATGCAATTTAATCGATAACATGTTATGGAATTGGATAAAAATTGAGCGCACATTAAAAAAAATATTTGAGTAGCTTTACCTCGATATGGATGTACTTCTTGGTTGTAATTTTGCGTCGACTTTTTTCTCGTCTTCTTCTAGCTTTCAAGTAACCGTCTCGACTCTGTAAACCAGAGTCTAAGGCTGCTAGGTTTATTTTTCCTAGACGCAGTGAGACACCACGAGCCGTTCCTAACATTTACAATTGCAGAGCGGAATCTTTGAGTTGAACCTCAAGTGCAGCAGATTTCCGATATCCCTTTTGGTAAAGTACCTCTGCAAAGCTTTTCCAATAATTGGAATTCAAAGTAGAAAGGTTTGCAGCCAAGTATGAAAAAGTTATTCCATCGAAAGTGATTATTTCTTAGTGGATTTATCAGTTTCTCCATGTGACTGTGAAATCAATAATAAATTCAATAATATAGTATTAAGAAATAGATTCGATCATGCAATCCTGAAAATACTTTTCAACGCTATGCTTGATCCTATAAGCTATCGCGTAATGGACAAATATTCACATGCTACAAATGAAATCATTAAAATATTTGCATAGGAGAGGGAAGCAGAAAAAACTCAGTAAAAAATAAGGAGACGAATTTGAACCTGCAATTTCAATCAGTTTCACCTTTTCAGTGTTAACAGTTCTTTCTACAGGATAAATCTACTATAACCATTGATGAATCAATTAGTTCTAAGGCAAAATTAAGGCTGAAATTGGTTTCACTCGGCTAATACGATGAATAATAAGAACCTGCTCATATTGGCAGAAGTTCAAATACTCTTTTGCAGTGTCGGAATTAACAGAGATGTTTAAGTCATGTTGAAACACTATATCTCTAAGAAAAAATAGCTAGTATACAAAATCAAGATTTATATCATCATAACATCCTTATATATGTGGATTTTATGATGATATTAATCTTGAATTAACGAAATCCACAGCTTTAAACAGGGAAATGTCATGTATCGTTGCGAATTTGTTTTCTCATGTTTTTGGATTGTGAGAAATTTATCTGATAAGATTTCAGTTTGTTTTTATTCAAATCTGGAATGAATAAAAACAAATTAGAAATAACAAAAAGTCTACACAAATATGGATGAGGCATAATGATACCTTAAAAAAACTCAGTTTATGGCCTCTTCGATAAATAGATTAACTTTTTGAGAATCTCCTAGATAATAAGATTGATTCTAGTTTTTTGACAACTATCATTAATCAATAAATGCTAAATCCTACATTGTTTAATCATGAAGCTATAATTAAACGAAGTTGATAAAATTTTATATGTTTTTTTAAGTTTTCAAAATTAAAACCGGTATATAACATTTGACATATATAAAAAGGGAATAATGGATAAAATAGTTGTCAAGCTAAATGAAATGTGTATGTTGTGTACACTTTTAATTTTATGAGATAAAGCAAAAGTGAAGTTAAGTATTTATTGAGTAGAATGTCAAGAATAGGAAAGTATGTAACGCACACGCTAAAAGGATTTTTTCATTAATCTTTACTATTAACAAAATGCTTCTATTTTATATTGAAGTATTTGATAACATTTAGCAAAAGCTACTGTTATTAATCTCAATTTTTTTTGTTGTGGAAAAATTTCGAGATTTTTCTGTTAAGGTAATGAGTTCAATGAGTAAAACATTGGTGATTACGTTGATTAAACTATAATTACGCTGATTAATTTTTGATCTTAACAGTTGCTATTAATTGTACTTTCATTAATAGAATAATTTTCTTTCAGGTAAATCGTTGCGGGAGAACTTGATGTACTTGCTCTGGTCTGGGATCTTCAATTTTATAGGGACATCTTTAAAAAAATATTAAGCATTTTATCTAAAGAGTTTTTTTCGTTTAGTAAAATGGGAACATCTGAGGCATAAATTCATCTATGAATTATTCAGTCCCTTTTTTTACCGGCTTGTTAACTTTCTTTTTTCAGTCTGCAAAAGATAATAAAATTGACGAACTACATGAAATTTCGACTATCATAATATAAAATTTATATATTTGAGTGATGCAAAACCAGACACCTCATTTCAGTTGTTAGATTACCTTCTCTCATTAATTGACAAATTTTTTATGAGTGATTAAGGTGTGGGAATCTTGCAGTCCAAAAGGAAAAATGAATATCTATGAAAAATGAATATCTATTTGCTAGAAACATTGGCAAGGGAAGAATAGTCACTGAAGCAGCCTTTATTAATTGAAATAATGAAATTATAGATAACTCTATTAAGAAGACTCCTGAAATTTAAAGTCAGCATGTAAAATGTTAGTCTTTTTGAAAAATAAAGTAAATTTAATAGTTTCAACTACTGGCTTTGCTTTGATTGTTCAATAACCTTCTATTCCTATATAAATTGTCATCCTTAAATTCTACACCCAAATAATATTGTCCTTGAAGTTAGCCAAAAAATTGTCAGTTATTTCAGAAATCATAAATTTTCAAGAAAGAGATATTCCTTGAAAAATAAGAAAAAGATAAAGCGAGATTATCCTTTTGCAGCAGCATAATTCTATGATCAGTGGTCGCGAAATTGATACAGTAATTTATAGATCATAATCAGAAACAATCTTGAGAAAGCCACTGATGAAAATTTTAAAATTGACAAAACTCTCGAACATTCATTTTTACATCAAGAAAGTTCTGTGAATTGAATTATCGGGTATAACAGAGAGAGAAATAAAAAAAGTCATGGAACTGGTTATAAATATTTACAGTTAAAAAAGGAATTAAATTCAATAATGCAACTTCACATCTGTTTAAGACATGAGGTGAAGAAAATAATGAAAGACCTGAGTGAACATAAGAATTTAAAAAATATGTAAGGCATACAAAGAATGGGATTTATTAGGTTTAAAGCAAGCTAGGAGAAAAGACATATAGTAAGGCTTAGTAAAGCTGAATTTTGAATTTATGAGGTGACATGCCTATAGATTGCGTAACGGGTAGTTAGGGACGCTGTCTGAGTCCATTATTCTAACTAAGACCCTCATTCGATGGAGTAGTCCATTGAGCCCAGTTTACCAACTCAACTGGGCATAGTTTAACAAAATGCTCCTATAGACATACGCACATGTACACACATATACACACAAATCTCGATAAAAAGAGATGTGCAATATATGGATGGCAAAGTAAAGAAAAAGTTAATTTGCATTGCACGACGTGTCACATTCACCGCCCGGAGCATTTTATTTCACTTCTCTTCTCAGTATATCTCACTTCTCACAATTCTTTTCAAGAATATGAAAATCATTGTTCAGCCTTACTTGGATAATCATTTGCAAACATTTCATTTATCATACAGCTCAAATGATCGATCTGCTACTAATCAATCAGCATTTAACTCCTTAATTGCATTAAATTAATTAAAATTTCCATCTGTCTGTTATTTCATCAAGTGAAGTTTGTTAATCAGTTTGTAAATACATAATTATTACCAAAAAAATTACATGTTTGTTAATAAAATGAATCATACAGTCATTATACAGCACAATTCTTCAACAACGAATAGATCTTTTTGTTATAGATGTAATAAGACAGCAAAAGGATACAATCAAATGGAACCACATGGTGGGAAATGAACATTGTATTAATAAAAAGTTTAGCATTGGATAAAGTTATTTTCTGATCTAAAATTTCAAAAATTTAAATTATTAGAAAAATTCGAAACATTCATGTAAGCAGTGTTAAAGATTGTTGCAATTAATGTCTGAAAATGAAAATATTAATTTTATTCCTTTCGTATGCACCCAATTTTTCCATAAAATTTTAATCATATACTACTAATATGCTGCATCTTGCAAATAATTCAATAAAATAGAAGTGAAGTATTATTAAAATTTATGATAAGCACAAAATGAAATGAATCATTTGGTACAAGGAGTTATTGTTGAGTGAAGTGACGTTTTAAAAATAATAATATTATGCTGCATTCAGATATCAATAAAAAGTCCTTTACTTTAAAGTATATCAGTATGATTTCAATTATAGCTTCAGTTAGTTAATAAATCCCCACGAAGACGGAAGGTTTGAGCCAAAAGAAATAGATGAGTGCTATATTGCCAGTACGCATTTAAAATTCTCAAAAGGCTTCTTGTTTTTATTTTTTTTCATCCGTTCCTTTTATCTTATCTCTTCAAGTGGAATAATTCTCTTTCATGGTTCTTTCAAAATTGAAAAAAGCTTAGAATTCTTGAACGCTTTTCTATCCGTATTTTTATCCGCTTTCATCCACTTCATCTACCTGTTTGTTATCTCTTGGCCATTTTGGACAATCGTTCATTTTTTGTCAATCTTATTCAAAAGATGTCTTTTATATCCTTTGAAGGAAGAACGGATTCCCACTCTCATATACATTTATCAGATGGAAGGAGGCGTTTATGACGAATGACTCTTCCACGTTAAGTTTTTCAAGCACACTATCAGCGAATGGATGTATAAGTTAGAACTAAAAAAGTGGATGGTGGTCGTTATTCACAAGCATATTAATTTATATAGAATGTGATAAAAAGCGAAAATTGTAAATTATAGAAAAAAAATTTATCGTATTCTTAAACCCCATCTTAATTATTAATTTTTGTGATAGTTGCAATATTAATTATTTTATAATAATGGCAGCAATAACTATTGCGTTATATATTTGTAATACTATTATATTACATAATTATACTACTACAGTATTATATTATGTTCTTATTTGTTGCAAATATTTATAATATAATTGATTAGCCAGTTATTTTGGCTAGTGCACTCATCATTATATTTAAATTTCAATATTTTTACTTTTGTTTAAAATTTTGTTTCTAATGCCTATGATGTTTGAATGGAAGTGCTTAGTGAAAACTTTCGAAGAATAGTTTAAAAAAAGAATTTCGAAGCCTTTTCGGAAATCATAAAACCAAACTGTTAGCCCTCCTCTCTTACCTATTATATCTATCAAGTTTTTGATTTGTTTAAAATCTGATCTTGCGTTTATTACTCGAAATTTCTATAAAAAAATATTCACAAATTCTTCGAAGAAAAATATTTTCAGCTCTTCATCATTTACTTCCTCAGTGATCATTATTTATTCCAGGTTTAAATCATTGCCAAACTCTTAAAAACGACTTGTATTAGTGACTATAGAATTTTTAAATTTGAAACAGAAAAAAGGTAATGATCAAAATAAGTAGCAGAATAACTGAAATGACCTTGATACATCTGATAATCCATTCTATCTTGTCCTTGTCCTCACTTCTGATTTTCAATTCGTTATTGCTAAATTTTCAACTAAAATTTTCAAAGAATTTGCACGAATTATTCTTGCATGAAGTTAACAAAAACTATCTACCAAAAGCATTTTACATTCCTTTTCAAAAAAGACAAAATAATGGTCGAATTTTTTTACAGCAAATCATTTTCCGCATTGAACTTTATAAAGGAATGGTTTTTTCTCCGGTATATCCTTTAGAATCAGTAGAAGATTCATCTTGCTCGAAGCAATTTGCATTTGAAACGATGTGTTAACGGTTACATTTCACGGTTACATTTAAATATTGATTGAAGTAGCAAAGTAATAGCAGCGAAGATTCTTGTTCAGAAATAGAAATAACAAATTGCTTTGAAATTTTCTTTCGGGAGAATAAAGAAGCATCATTCTATCAATTTTCATAACACTTCTTGTGCAATGCTTTTTTTAATGTCAATTGATTCTTCCATTGCCGTATTATTTGTTTTAAAAAAATAATAATGTCAAGTGGTTTTTTTTCCTATATGAAATAAAATTTTGATCAAAAATCAACTAATACATAAAATAAAAACTTGACAGCAACTATCAGTATAAATTTAAATATTCTTCATCTCATCTTTAATTTGAAAGGCTCAAATTACCTTTTTAAATTGGAGTATCAGTTGCTGTGCAAGTTTTTCTCGTACCTTGGGACTGTTAATTCAAAGTTTTATTTCCATCATTCCAAAAATGAATACTTGGAAAGTATTATTTGAAAAAATTGCACATTTAACTGGTAATGATAACTCAGATATTATTTTTAGAATTATCAATGCATTAAATGCTATTAATTAATTAATATTTAAAACATCACTCTATCTATTCGTCTATTTTTTCAAGAGATGAAACAATATCTGTTTAGCAAAAAAAGATATGAAAATAGCAAATTGTCGAAAACTTTTGAACCAATGAGGAGAAAGCAAAATTGAGGCACATTGATTATTTTAAAATTGTTCATAATAAGTCTTGAGTTAATGCAACAATTATGAGCAGAGAAATATGCGTGTGCATCGCATACGTATCATAAGGCGTCTGTCAATCGAGAAGCACTTATTTGTTGACTTTTTAATTCCTCCGTAAATACTCTGAAATAATAAATGAACTATTTGAATGTAAAGAGAAAAACATATTGGACTTTTGACTTTTACAGTTTTTTTTTTCAACTGTGCATTCTCTTTCTTTCTCATATAAAAAGAATTTCAAAATTGCGCATTATGTTGTTTGCATAAATGAAGCAATTTTGTGTTCTCAACTAATGGAGGTGAGAAAACTTACTCGCTAAATTTGAAAATATAGAAGAGATTTGTCTCGCTGTCAAGAACATGCACCTGTTCGCATTTCCATTTGAAGTTGTGCTGAAATTATGATTTTGCAAAATGTTGATAAAATTCTGAAAAAGATTCTCGAAAGTATGCAAATTAAATTTTGCATTGTTTAACTATTACTTGTTTAATTAATAGTGCTGCTCTCAGTTATTCAATAAAAAAGTGGAATGGGGCTACAATTTCAGTTGCGTTTTTTAATTTTGATTTTATAAATCTTAGCTAAAACTAATATGAGGTTTCACAACACTAACATTAATCAATTCATTAAGTTTTGTTTAGTAGTTTTTTCAAAAATAGGAACATATAATCTACGTTGGACTACGTGCATTCACACAAAATATAGCAACCAAATCTGGCTTGACAAAATTTTACAACTACAAAAAGTGAAAGAAACATGAGGCGCACGTTTTTGTTCTTTATTTTGATTGAAACAGCCAGAGGTTCACCGATACAGACAGCTTCTACTTCAAATGTGCTCATCTGCAAATTACTTAATAAGTTAGTAATGTTATAATAAATGGGCTTCTAATGCATTAATTAGTTAAAAACAGCGGAAAGGCGAAGTGGGAAGGGAAGAGGGGCGACTGGAAAATGAAATAGAAAAAGGAAAAAGAAAATAAGTAAACAAATCCAAAAATAAATTTAACAAACTTTCTTTTCTTGAAATGGTTCAACATCATCGTTGATTAGCTTTCGCAAACCTGTATCGCCCTTTGTTCCGCTTATTGCCAGATAAACATCAAAATCTGCGCTTGATTCACCAGAATTTACAGTGATTATGTAAACAACATCTGCAAGAAAAAGAAATTTTAAACAATTTAACGGTTTAAAGTGAAAAATTAAATATATTTTTTGTTAAATAGAATTTGAAGTCTTCACAAATTAATATAACAAAACATAATGCAAAATTAAATTTGAAATTTAATAAACTTTGAGAAATTTAAAAGAGGCAGAAAATTTAATCGAAGAAAAAACAGAAACTTTACACACGATTCAAATAATATACATTAATTAGCAAAAATTTTATTTGCAACTTACTTGAAATAGGTGGTATATCTGGCCAGACAGCCGGGAATTCATAAACTGAATCCAATGTAAAGATCATATTTATAGCAGGAAATCGAAGTTCATCACCATTTTCAGAATCATAAAGCTTCATCTGAAATGAACAGAAAAAAAATGTTAGTTGAAAATTCAAAGCATTTCAAATGAAACAGATGTGATATAATAAAATAGTAATTTAATAATCACAAACTTTCTGTATTTCGATGATATTTTTATCATCAATTTTTGTATCGTCTGGTGGATTATAATTGAGACGTTGTGAATTATCAATACCAATCCTCACTTTGATTATCCTTGATATCGCTGCTGTTTTTTGCTATATAAAAAACTACAAGATAGCTTTAAAAAATGATGAAATCATTGAAAATAGTTTAGCAGAAAAAAGTAAAGAAGTGTCATTATTGTGCTCAAGATAATTTGCAGCAATCGTTTTTCATCGTTGAAACTTAATCATAATTGAATCTCATCAATTTCCATTTTTGTAAGCAATTAAATCCTAATCTAAATTCACTTATTATCAAAAAACGTTGTTTTTTACTTTAAAACTTGTTTAATGACAGAAAAAAAGTAAAAATCCATATACTTGAAAAGTAATAATCATATTGATGGGAGTGGTAGCAGTGACCGTCATCTCTACACATTTATCTTCTGTACAAAGCATTACGCTTGGGAGCAGCGTACTGCCTTCACCAATTGTCATCCACAGAATCCATTGCGGTTGCTTTCTTGATGAAGCTTTTTTCTTACTGATTTTAGTCGAAAGTCCTTCCATTTCTGATTGTTAAATTTGATTAATTTTAATTCTTAAGTTTTAGAATAGTTTGTTGAAAATGCTACCATCAAAAGTGAATAATTGCGAAAATTTTTACAATATCAAAAAAAGACACCAGAAAGTAGAAGTTCCACGAAAATATCTCCAATATCGCCATACATTTCCTCCTTCACTTTTTGATTTTTTTCTTCTAAAGTTTTCACGCGATTCATTCCCATTACGTAACGATATGGCGCATGATGTGATTCACGTGCGGTTATTTTCTCAGCGATCCAATCACTTGCCATTGCAATATTTGTAACATGTCGTCGGTCGTAGATATCTTGCAACATTTGCAAACCTTTGTATATTTCATTACCTACAAAATGTTTATTGAAAAAATTTTGAAACGAAAAGATTTTCATTGAAACTTTTTTTTGAAAATTTAAAACAAATCTGAGGGAAGAAAATTTTTCCTTAAATTTGTTTTATATACCAAAGTCTATTACAACACATTTGAGTCATTGAGAAATATTCATCAAAAATTTTTAATTACAAATTGAGAACAAAAAATTTACCAATATCATTCATCTTGACGTACAATCGTGCACTTTGTATACGTCCAACGGAAACCGCTTCAGTTTTGAACGAAACTTCCTAAATAATGCATTATAATTTTTAATAAGCAGAAAAAATATCTTGAAAATAGTGAATAATAATAATTACCTAAGAAAAAGTAAAATAATGTAAATTTCTTAGTGAAAAGTATTTTTGGTCGCCTGCACAAAATTAAAAATTATTCAAAATCGTTACTATGTTTACTAGCAAAAGATATTGTGTATTGAAGAATAAAATAAACTCACCTGTTTTAAATCCGAAGCACACCGCAAATCAACAGGAAAACAACCTGTTTCACCAAGTTCACCAAATATCCTCATATATGCAATAGGTTTTTCTAGAAATCGCTGTTTGCGCGAACTTAGCTTGATTTTTCCTTCGTAAGATAATACTGCAAAATAAAAAAAAAAGTTTAAAAATAATTATCTGATGTTGGATACGATATGAAACTGAAAATTGAAATAAACGTTTCTATATCATGAAAATAATAAATAAGAATTTACGGAGATTTCCATGATAACTTCATTTAAAGTTATCATGGAAATGCTCTGTAAATTTCTACCTTCACATGATATCATAAGAGATCCATTATGTTTATTATTTGGATATTTGATACAAAAAATCGAAAATTACTGTTTAGTGGTTCAAAAGCTGCTCGAAAGACTGGAAATTCTCGGAATGGCTGCGCATTTTTTTCATCGCAGCCTATTTTCAACCATTTTCTCACGTATGATACCATACGTTCTTCGGTATCCAAATCTCTGAGTTCAACATAATCCAAGTAATAATCCGGCATTTCACCATTTCCATCGATTTCAATTCTCACCTTTAGTAGATCACCAATTTCACCGAAATCCACCTATAAATTGCACAGAAAAAAATTTTTGTTATTTGTGAAGTTCTAAAAGATTGTCTTGTTCGAGTAATTTTATCTTTGAAATAAAAGGCAGATTTCAAAGTTGAAAAACAAATTTCAGCAAAGTAAAAATAATTAATTACTTCAAAATTTCTTGTCATTTCGAGGATACCAAAATTGCAACAAAAATTAAAAAAGAAATATCAAAAATTACTTGCACAAGTGATGTTGATGGCACCTTTGCCATTCGATTGTCATAAATTTTTGTTGTCACTGAACTTCCTTGGCTACCGTAACCCACGATATTCAGATTTGATGTAGTTGCACCGCTACCATCATCTTTTCCCGAATGCAGAATAAGCTCCCAGCGACCACCTGCAAAAATTAATGTTAATCTCTACTTTATGAACTACCATGATAGATATTACGATAATTTCTTATCATAGTATCACAGTATCCATTATCCTATCATTCAGCACAATCATATGTCAGATATGTTTACATGTCGCTAAGTTTTCAAAATTCATTATGTTATAAAAATTTATAAAAAATTCATTATATTATAAAAATTGGTTAATATTGCTACAATAAAAGCAAACTGATTGATAAAAATTCAAATATTTATTCACCCATAAGTCCAGAATTTAAATTTAGATTTCATATTAAAAAGTTAGGTTATGGACCTACTTGTAAATTTGGAATCGTATAAGATAGTAGTGAGATAAAAAAAAGCTGTTGTTTTTAATGTCCGTTCAATTTTTCCATCCACTTGACCACTATCCAACCATTTGGCACATTGGAAAAGATATTGCCGTCCATCAGCAATATTTTCAGTGACCAGAACACGTTCAATATATATTCCAATCCCTGAACTTTGTAATTTTTATCAACGAAATTTCTGAAATATCGTAAAGTTTTTTTAAATCAAAAAAATTGTGCCTAATACAGAAAAGCTGAAAAGAACATACCGTAACCAATATGATCATGTCCAATAATAATTTTTTGAAGTAAGCCAAGTTTTGCTGTTTCAATGTGAAAAGAATCCATTCCATTCTGTTGAAATTTTGGTTCATGTGTCTGTAACCAATTTATATACTGAAAACATCGCGTTTTAACTGCGAATCGTTAGATGAATGTCACTGTCTCCCTCCTAATAAAAAGTAAATTCAATATGTGAATTGGTTAAGGGTGAAATGGTAGCATCGACTAGCTTTAGCAATTAATTTAAAGGCCACTCTTTCAACAATATGCCCAACTTATTGATGAATGATATACTCGTTAATCACTGTCAATACAATTTTGCTATTATAATACTGCAGTATAATATTATTGATCGACTTTGTTTGTAATTTATTTACTTGATTAACTAATAAGTAAATTAACCAAGTTTACTGATTATATAGTATTTTCTAATTTCCAATAAACAGTTCGCTGATCTGTTCTGATCTACTACAAATACAGGAAATTAGCTCACGTCTTGTCGCAATAGGTGTTTCTCGCTTGTATTTAAATCACCGAATAAAATAATAAACAAATCAAGATCTGTATCAGCCGCCCAACGATTTCCAGTAATTATTGATACAGTATAAGTCATACCTGGAATATAACTTTTGGCAAAAGGCGAAACAGTAATACCGAATACCAATAAAATGTAAAAATAATAGCAGTATTGATCACCACTGATGAGAATTTTTCGGGCCGTCAAACCAAAATTGAATTCCAAACAAACCATCTTCTTTTGCACTTATCGGAAGATCAGCTTCAGGCATAGATGTGTTGATTGCTTCATTGTTATCAAACAGTTGATCATTAGATGTTTCAAGCATCACTTCCGGAACATCTTTTACTGCCGGATCGAAATGTTCAGTATCCGCAGTGCTTCCCTTACGTTCTTTCACTCTCTCATGTTCTTCCACTACAATTGCTTTAAAGTTGAAGTGCCTCAAAAATGAAAGTCCACTCAACTTAAAATTGCTAAAAATGAAAATTGAATTAAAAAACTCTTCCGAAATCTGACTTTCTTCATTATTTTGTACCAATTCATCTTCTTTCGTCTCTTCGTTTTCATTTTTTGTCCCATTTGTTTCATTTTCCCCTTCACTTTTTTCGTTCTCTTTTATATCTTCCGCTTCCTGTTCATTTTCCGGTTCTGTTTGTTTACTTTCGCATGACTCTTCTGTTCGATCATTTGCTGTGAACTCGTTATTTCTATCAGAATGGCCTTCAGCATTTTGAAGTATTGTTGCTTTCTCAGATGTCTCCGATGACCTTTGTAAGAATGGTAAGGCTGGAAAACGTGAAGCTGCCAGCGAATCTAAAATTTGGTAGAAATTTAATTTTTAAAATTTACAAATTCTCATACTGTACAATCTTTCACTTGATAAATTTTGGAAATTTTTAAAAAGCCGAACTTTTTTCCATTTTATTTGCCGATTTTGCATTCTTCGACCTGTCGCTCTTTCGTTTACTCAGACGTGACATCGAAGTTAAAGGCATCATCTTACTGTTACTAACCATTCCTTGAGGTCGCTCAATTGAATTCTTCCGGTAGACCGATTGAATTGCTTGCTTTGCTGAAATGTTACTTTAACCATGGAGAAATTAATTAAAAATGCAGGGGAAATAAATTAAAAACTTTGTTTTAAAAGTCACAGAATCAGAAAAGATATCTTAACATGAAATGTATTTTAAATAATATCGAGAATTGAAGTGCTGAATTTGAAGTGTTATATTATTTAGTAAAACTCTCAAAGTTAATTTGATACAAAGCTAACCGGTAGTAGGCTGTCCTAGAAGACTTGATGGTGTTCTTGAAATCGGTGGTAGTGGTGGTATACTTACTGGAAATATGCTTTCCCGAAACATTGGCCGTTCATTTCTCGGTACAGCAAGTAGTCGAGCTTCATTTAATGAAAAAATTTCATCCATGCTTATTATTCTCTTACCGGAATAAGTATACAGTTTGAAAATTGCCATCTAAAATCCTTATGATCTAATAAATTTAGTTATTCTAAATGAACGAATTGGCAAATGCGGGATGGAATTGAACACGAACAGTTTGATTTGAATTAATGTGTGCTCTGTGCCTTTTCAAATAAATGTATATTTTAATTAATATTGAACAACATTATAAAATACGCAATTTTCCTTATAATGGAGACTTTTTTCACCTGTAAACCTTCCGAAATTTCTTCTAGTAGTGATTCGATAGTCTGTTGGCGAAAAGGATTCAATAGTGCCCGATAGATTCTTGAAGGTTTTCCATTTAATACAAAAAATATCTAAAAAATATTGAACGCTTATGAGAACGAATGGACGAATTAATTAATTCGAATTGAATTCAACACAACAAATCTGCTATTTATTCTTCTTCATAAGATAAGATAAATAAAAAAAGCTTTCATAAGATAAACAAAAAATCGATAAAAAGTTGTTACCAGAGGGATAAAATGAATGAAAATCATACAAAGCTAACTATATTACATAAATATTTCATCCTTCAGTTTTTTTCCAATTATACAGTTCTTTAAAATTGAAAGTTTTAAAAGTTGAAGCAAACTGAAGTTGAAGTTTATATTTTTAAATATTAAAAATCATTATCGGTAAAAAAATAGTGAAAAAAATGAACCTGTTTGGAGGTTGCAGGATATAGTGATAATTTTAACGGTACTTTTGAGCATTCATTTTTGTTTTGCTGTAAAAATGTTTTTCAAAGAAAAGAAAGAAAAAAAAATTAATTAGCAAAATTCTTCGTTAAATTTGATTTCAGTGCAATAGTGAAATTCTAACCTTCCGATGGTTCCAATTATTATGGCTATAGTAATGAGGTGCGTGTATCCGATTTACCTGACGATTCCGCTGTATTTTTTCCACCATCGATAGATTTAACGGTCGTGGAGTTTTGAAAGAGGATGCTACATATCTAAAATATATGCCTAAAATTCATCGATAAAAATTAATTTTAATGATAGATTAGAAAGACGTGAATAATTAGATGGACGTATTTTTTAATTAATTTTGTTAATATATATGTAATATATTACATATTTAATGTCCAATTCAATTGAATGGTATATACAAATGAAACTGTATAAGTAATACTAAAGTTAGGTAATACTGACTTGAGATGTCATGTTTTTTGTCTGGTAGCAAGTTCTATATTTACTAATTTGCTATTTGTCTTGTCTTAATACTTATTTCAAACAATGAATTTTCACACATGCCATAAACTATTAAAGAATTGGTTAGTGATGGGACCATATTGTAAGTACTCAAAATATAACTTTACTCAACTGTCATCTTGGTTTATTCACAGTTGAAATTTTTACTATCATCTTTTTGGTACTTTTTTTTAAATGACACTTTTGATTTTTGATTGAGCGCTTTTACCATTTCGCATATGTAAGCCAAATAAGCGCATCATTCATCTGAAGGATTACTACTTCTTGTTATATTATTGTTATTAATTTTAATACTTACAGTTATATATTTGAATGTGAACTGATATTTTGCATGAATTACAAGGCCAATAAATTTACTGCTCTTTATACTCTCCCCTAATTAATCTTATCAATTTTGTTTCCCGGAACCTTGATGCAATCCGACACAAATATTGAGTAAAAGCAGTAAAACATAACTAACCGTCCACGATGCTGTAGTTGATCTATATTTTTAATGATTGTTTTTCCACGTGGCGTTGTTAAATGACGCACGCCAAATGGCATCGAAATATTGCTATTTAAATCATCCAACAATGATTCAATAGTACGATATCGCGCTTTTGATACTGGCACTCGAAGTCCCTTCAGAACAATTTGAAAAATTAAAAATGCTTATTTTCTGTCAATAATTTCGTTGTTAAAATCCAAAATTTTACTGAATTTTGAAGAAATTAAAAAAGCCATTTTGCGATAATAAAATTTGAATTTTTTTAAACTTCAGGTTAGTTTCTGCAGAAAAATTCCACCATTTTTATGGTAAAAATTCCGAATAACTTACCGCAAAATAAATATCGCCTTCCTTGTAGAAGAATACTGTTTTGGCGGAGTACGGTCGACTGAACGATCGATTTGAACTGTTATAATTTTGAGTATGTCTATTCACCAAATTTGGTACATTAGGTGGCGCAGGTGTCGTGTGAAGATTAGCAATGTCTGGAGTCGAGCGATGATCAAGCGTGGAACGCGATGAAGACTAAAGATGAATCTTACATTGTTATCAAGGAGAAATATTTTTCTTTTTTGAATATTAAAATTTCAAACGTTGTTTAATCTCTATCATTCTTTCTCTATAATTCTTAGATTCATTGAAAAATAAACTCGGCCAATTATATCTTCATCTAAAGTGAATTTAAAAAGAATTTTAGTTTTTGAATTTAAAATTCAAAAAAAAGGAATTGTTAGTAATCATTATCTGACTTTCAAACAATTGAATGATTTTAAAAAAAGTGAACTATTCATCGATATATATTGGAAGGCACAATGCGGGGAGCAGACAAATTTCTCCCATTGTCTTAAGCTTCTTGTTTTTGCACGCAATTCTTTTTTTGTCAATGTGTTAACATGAAAAGCAACTGACCCAAAATAGCGTTGTATCCCCGTTTTCTGGGTCACTCATTTTCCTTTCTCCTGACTAATTTAAAATATAATAAGTTTATTAAACATTGCACGTATATTTGTTTGATTGTTCTAAAATTTGCACAATCTGGAAAATTGCAAACTCGGCTGAAAATGAAAATTATATGTTTAATTAATAGAGAGAACATGTTCAAAATATGGAGAAAATTTTCAGAGTAAGATTTTTAAAATGAAATCAGAACATCATTGAATCAGAAAAGAAATAAATCAAAAATAGCTTAAAAATAGCCAGGTAACTGACTTGCTAAAAACCAAAAGTGTTTGTTTAAAGGAAGAAATTTTAAATATTCTTTAAAAAATTGAAAAATGAATTTAATGAAAATGCCAAATAAATAGCAAATTAAATAAGTCAATAAAAAGTAATGAATACAAATTAAATTTTGCAAATACTCTGCGATATTATTTCGGATTAATTTGCGGAATTAGTAATTTGTTTGAAAAACATATAATTTGTTTAGAAATTGATAAATAAATTAATTAAAAAGCAAGCATAAGGTTAAGAGTTAAGGTAGTATAACGATGTATAAAGAATACATCCTCGAAATAAAATAAGAAATCTCAAATTGAAAAATATCAATTCCAAACACTATCACATAAAATTGAAAAAAAAATCAATTCCAAACACTGTCACAAAAAAAAATTTCTATTAGGCTAATTGGCACTTCACAAATAAAGCTCCTGCAAACTGATCGATTAAATTATTCAGTGATTGTCTGATATGAATATTTACATCACACAAAAAAAACTGATGGTCATTTTTTCCATGCTCGACAACAGAAAAACGAATGAGTCAGCAAAATTTTCCCAACATGACGCTTTTGATGAATAATTTTCTCACGAAGAAAGTGATAAAATTTTAGCGATGACATCGTATCCGTCAGAATGTGATAATCATTTAGAAAAAGAGTGTCCCGAAAAGTTTATAAATTGAGAAGTAAAAATAATCAAAAACAAAATTATTGCATATAATTTCAGCCATCGCTATCTCTCTAATGATTACATTAATAATCTAAAATGAACTAATTACCTATTTAAAACGGATGTTAGACTTTTGTTTGTTATACTAATATATTTTCCTCTCTTAAATTTCATCCGTTTATGTTTAAAGTTAATTTCAAATGTTTTATAATTCGAATTTATCAACATTTTTATGATATTCTTACAAAAGTACATTCCGTGCTTATTTATTGTTGCATCATTATTTCTATGTCAGCATATTTCCATTATTTTATTCCTCAGCCAATTCTTAATCAATTCATCCTCAATTATTTCCACATATCCTCTGAAATTCGCTCACAATTTCTTATTTACTTATCCAATTCACATAATTCAGCCGTTTATCTTATTTCAATTCATTCCATCTTTAACATTTTTCGAAATATAGTTGAAAATTAAACAAATATACCTTTGTTTTATCAATTATTGTCAAAACTATTTGTGTCCTCTTCTGAATGAAAACTTTTACATATAACTGATGAGAATGATTGGTACAAAAATTACAATCTGCAATAACTTAAAAAATGGGTCAAATTTTTTTCTAATTTAACAATGTTTATTGAAATATTATTAAAATGGTTGCAAAAAAAGTAAAACTGTCACAACAGAAACAAAGTGATGAAAGAAAAAAAAGGCCAAGAAAGACGTCATTTTAGGAAACCTATTATTTAAGATTTGTTTCAGAGCAAAATTATTCATCCAGTCTTAAAGGCTGTGCTTGTCTATCATTGGCGTGAACGTAGTAAAATTTAAAAAAAGGATATGAATTGCAAATTTTTCTTCTCTAAGAAAAAATACTGCATATGTAATTGAGATAAGAATGCTTAGTAAACCTAAAAATGTACTTCGGGAGGTTGGAAAACGGAACTCTGCTGCTACTTTAACAATCTACCAAATTCCAACTTCTCATCTTTCCGGATTGACACCACAGATTCTCTGTTACTGAACGGGAGAGTAAGCCAAGTTTTACTACCATTATATGTATATGTATAATATATGCCTATATATGTACACACATATACACACACGCACACAAACATGTACACACCTTTATTGCTCATTAACGTTCCTATGGAAACAATATTTTCAACAGCTAAGAACTAAGAGATGGGAATTTTATATTACAGATTAAGTGTTAAAATCCTATTAAGCTTTGAAAATTATTGCTCATTGCAACGGATAATCACAAGAGAAAAAGTTGGCAATATGGGCCATTTTATGATATGGAAACGATTGAAGGCATTTTCGTAAAAGCTAAATTTAACAAAATACTACTATATTAATTGGTGATAATAATTGAATAATTCTAATTATCTTTGATTGATCAAACAAAATAAATAGAATTTGGGGTCATTTCGGGGGATTGACTCTCTCTTGTATACGGTTGACATGGAAATCATGTAATATCACAAATATCGCACAAATTTTTACATTTAAATTTATATTAAAGTAACAGCAAGATAATTCGACAGGTAAATTCCAAAGGTTAAAAAATTAAAGATTACATTGCATAGAAACTTAATGTACTATCTGTTAAGGTTTTTGTACTAAAAATGAAGTTTGATCGATAAAATGTAGCTTGAAATGCCCAAAGAAGAAAAAATTTTTACCTATCAGTGCAACATTTCTTCGTGTGATCGCCTTACGTTTCTATTTATTATTCCATCAGCTATTAAATAAATTTTACTTGATTCCAATTCAACTAACAAATTATCCTTCCTCCTTTGTTCAGTACTTCAACACATTCAATATATATTCGTTCTGTGTTGATTTTATTATGACATTATTATTAAATGATAAATTTTGGCTGCAAAAGAGAAAAAAATAGCTGAAAAATTTTAAAAACTTATCATAATAAAACTATCAGATCATAGTTATCACCCAAAATACCTGAAAAGTGTATCATCTTTCACATACCTATAAGTAATAAATTCAGTTGTATATTTTGATTAAATTATCGTCAATAAAAATGAAATGTTTACCTCCTTATATGAAAGTCAATTCCCTAAACAACGAAATTTCTGCAATTGCAATAATTTCTTGCTACCGCGCAGTATCCTTAACATACAATTACTGTGATAATGATTATCAGTTGCTTCGCTTACTTTATCACTGATATTCCTTGACATTATCTGTAAATGAACGGAGAGATGCAAATAAGAAGTTTGTTTGCAATTTAGCAACAGCTATTTCATTTTTCCAATAATTAATGTGAATAAAACAGGTGCGAATGTAGTATTGGTACAAGAATGAAACTCCCAAAATTTGAATTTTATGTGAAATCTAATTTATGAGTGATTATTTGTCAAGTATGAAATCAGAACAGCATCGAGTACGATACTCAGTTTGTGGTGCAAATCATATAGCAGTGAAATGGGCATACTTTTGAAATAAATTGAAATCATATATCAACGATCATCACAAATGATATAAATTATTATTGCTATCATTTGTTATCGTTATCGAACTACCATAACACTTCGCGTAGAAGTATTCAAAACCTTTTTTGGTGAAACATGAACTTCTGTATCGTACGACAAAAATGAAAAATGATGTTATCAATTTCAAGTAGAGCTTTTAAATTGGATTAAAGTTTTTTGCTAAGAATTCGGTCCAAAACAAGATTTTTAAGTAAGACAGAAATCATTCAAAAGCAGAAATAAAAAATAAATGCAATTAAGACGGTTTGATTTTCAGGAATGGTAGAAAAGAGATCTGTTATGAATATGAAATTTATTTCCCTCTATCCATTCTACACCATTCAGGTGTATATTGGAATAAAGGTGTGGAATATCATCAATCAAAGCATACAATTTATTTTTAGATTAAATTCAATATTAATAGAAGATGAAAATAAAATTAGCTCATTCTGCTTACTTCATAATTTAATCAAACTTTGCTCACTAGATTTCAATTTCAAAACTTAATATCATGCAAAAATGTTACTTCTATAGTATCAGTAATTCAATTTAAATGAAATAGAGATATACTATTTTGGGAAATGTCAAATCTATAAATAATCTTCAAATTAGAAAAAAAAAATGTAATATTTCTTCTCTCACTTTTTTTTCATTAGTATACATGTCTTGAGATGGTCATTTTTGATAGGTCATTTTGATAGAGCAATAATATTTTCGGAGGAATGGAAGCTTAACGTAAGTTAACATAGCACCAGAGAATATAACGATACTGATGACCATCAATGACATTTAATCTTTTAGCATTATTTGGCAACAGATAGCAGTATCCTTATCGTGTGGTTTCAAATTACCGCATGCTCTCTCTGCAATATCAAACAGCACTTTTCACACTCAGCTGTTGCGTTTTTTTTTTTATATTAAGTTATATTTAATTGTGAAAAAAAATAGATGAAATTAAGGAGAGTTATTGGATCAGTTTAAAATGAAATGTTAGATTTAAAAAAAACCGTAATTCATAATGATAAAAAGAGTGGATGATATTGAGAATGTTAGCAGAGAGAGAAGTGATACGGTGGGTGGTGGTAAAAAGTAAAGGAGAAATTTTGGCAGACAAACCCCATGAAATATCTTTTTCTCTTTCTCCCTCAATCTATTTCTCCAATTGCAACACTTCTCCATAAGCTACCATAATACCAGTGAGATTAGTTTTCACTTACAGCATGCTAACATTCACATAAACTAAACCATCTATCAACCAGCCATTTCCAATCATTCGCTCATTTACAAATCACTCATCATTCATATCTCTTTTCTTATGGCTCAACATTCACAAAATTTCCTACCAAAAATGGAATTGAAACTTTCACCGGCGACATCTCAACAATCTTCAAGGTAAGATTGATTATATAATCTGTTGAAAAGTATTTATTTACATAGAAGCGAATATTGTTTAGGTTGCCTATGCTATACAGGGTGGTCCTTCGAGCCCTGCTTGTATATAACTTTCTAACCCAAATTATGTTTACTTCTCAATTCTGTGATAAACTGTTTAGATTTTCAAAAATATTTCGTTGTTTTTCTTTCTACGAAAGTACTGTTTCAATCATCTTTTCTTATTTTCTTAAAATTTTCAATTCTCAAAAGCTTAATTAAACGTATCAATTAGATCAAATTGCTCGCATTACTGATGCAAATTGCACAACATATAAACTTGTAAATTGCATATGGCTTGGAATTGACAATTTGAAAGTTAAATCGATATTTGTGGTTTAAAAATTCGTCCAAATATTGTAAGTCACGAAAGTAATATATTTGTTATCAAAATATTGTTGCATATTAATCATTTTCGAATGGCAATGATTTCGAATTTTCGTTTTGATTTTTAATAACTAATTTGAATTGATCTTTTTGAATCTGCTTGAAACCATTAATAAACTTATTTAAAGCCAAATAAAGTTATAAATCTTAATTCAGCTAGCGAGTAGAAATTTTGTTGGCAAAGAAACCATAAATTTATCTCATAAAACCATTGTATGTCGTTAAGCACTACTATTATAATCGAATCCTTCAAATTTTTTATTTTTATATTAGAAATTCAAATTCCGTTAAAATCTGAGATGAAAACTTTTTTCCCATTGCTAACAAATCTCAAAATCTGTCCATCTTTTGCCACTTTCAAAATATTTTTCTTAAAGAGTAAAGATATTCACTGTTCTTTATAGTGAGCCGATTTCCAATGCACTCGGACCCTTGCAATTTAAAAGCGAAGATGAAGATGAGAAAAGTATTGTTTGTCGACGCCGGAATGGTAAACGACAGGAGAAACCACCGTATTCCTACATTGCCCTTATTGCTATGGCAATACATGCAAAACCGGACCGGAAAGCGACACTGACTGAGATTTACACTTTCCTTCAGAGTAACTTCGACTTCTTCAGAGGTCTATTCCATTGCAAATTACCAGTTCTTATTCATGATAATTTTTTCAAAAAAAAAAAGAACTCTTAGCAAAACTATTTGAGCGAATTTAGTACAACATTCTGATACAACGACATCCACAATCTCTTGATAATCAGACTTGAAAGATAAAGATTCTGTTTGGAAATTTTCACAATTTCATTTAACTTTTTTGGACAATATTTAAAGAAATTCACTTCAAGATTTGCAACATTTATCATTCAAATCATCAGCTTCATCTCCACTCAGTAGTATCGTTGGTTGACCTGATATCAGTTATATTGTTCATCAAACTTCCAGGAGAATATAATGGTTGGAAGAATTCCATCAGACATAATCTATCACTCAATGAATGTTTCATTAAATTACCAAAAAGTTCTGGTGGTCGAAGTGGCAAAGGGCATCAATGGACTATTGACCAAAACTGCGAATTCCTCTTTGAAGAGGGTTCATATCGAAGACGACCACGAGGTTACAAAGCTCGTGTACGAAATTGTGACTTTACTAATGAACAGGTGTGCTAATTAATTTATCATTTCTCAAACTCTCCACAGAAAAGTGAGGATCAAAAGAATTTTTTCCTCTGATATAAGCCTAAGACTTAAATCTATTCGCTGGCTTTTCAATATTAATCAAATCTTGAAAAAAAAAATTTCAGTTGGAACCGATGTTTGTTGAGGCTAATACAGTGCCTATTAATAGCAATGTTGTTACCGTTGATGGGACACATTTTGTTACACAACAACAAAATTATCTACCTCAATATACGGCAAATTCATTCTGGCCTCATTATGAATATGCAAATCAATGGCCAAATAGCTACGGATTACCTTCCTCAGCAATGAATAGCTATCCTATATATGATAGTGTACAAGCAATTACACAACAACAACAAACTGATTATGCGGAAGGTTGTCCGGTGATTATGATACCAAATGATTTATCAAGTGATCCAGATGTATTTGTTAATGAACAACAGCATGTTGATTTGCCACAATTCGGCACTTCTTCACACCTATATAACCAATATGCAAATTTATCAGCACCTGATCGAAACTCATAATTTTATGTCCTTTGAATTGTGGAAATCATTTTAGTTATGTTGAAACTTTAATATGATAGGTTAGTTGTATTACGCATTTCATCTTCTTTAATCATTCTGTCACATGAAATGAAATTATAGCAAATATTCAGGAAAGCTTTGGTTTATTGTTTCATTAATGAGTTATTTTATCATCTCAAGAAATTTTATACTAGAAATCAAATGTCAACGACATAATAAAAATAATTAGTATATTGGGATAAAAATCCTCACTTAATGGGACATTTGAGCGAAAGCTCTCATTATGATTGTATTAACCTTTCCCAAATTCTTTTCTTATCTTAATTAAAATTTAAACTAATTCAAATAAATATTAATAGAAGAGATGACAGTATCAGTGTTGAACGATGATATTTATTGATCAATCAAAGAGTAATTCGATAATTTCAATTCTTTAACAAGTAATAAGGGAAAAGAAATTATCTTGTAATTCCTAAACCTAATGTAAAATTTATGCACATGTATTAATTATTTTTCTCGTCTTTGTTTTCGCTCATTAATAAAAAATAAATAAATATATAGTCATGCATTTGAAACTTAGCAATCTGTTATTATTATTATTAAGTTTTATAGTTATGCATTTGAAATTTAGAATTAGCAATCTGTTATTATTATTATTATTATTAAGTTTTGTTTCTTATAGTTGTATAGTTTTATTCCTACCTTTACATATTTTTGCATTTTTTCTTTTTGAAAATCGAATTGCATCAAATAACAATTGGCAAGTTCAATTGTCATTTGTGTAAGACACTAAAAACAATTCTCCAATGTCAATCCAATTCGATGTGACAACTGTAGCTTATTGTACTAACGAAATTAAACTTTCTGCAACATTTAATGACAATTGAAGCAATGTTACTTAGCACCCAAATTGCAAAAGTATGGGATTTAAAACCTACAAAAGTACAGCTACTTAATTAACGCCCTTGCAGAGGAAGCTATATGATGAGATCAAATTTGTCCTTTTACATTTGACCAAGCTTATTTTATACTGTTTACTTTCTATATAGCCCTAACAGCCAAATGAAGCTCTTTTTGATAAAGGAAATGGCTTATAAAATAAGCAAAGAAACAAAATTACCGAAATCATATCAAACAGTTCAGAATTGGGAAAGAATTTTAAATCCTCAATGATCCTTTGCGGTTGAACTGTAACTTCTTCTACTTGTAATAAATCTTTCACCTGTTGCTTTTGAAACTAAAAGTTGTTGATCATCAGATGAACCTTGAAATGAGTTAGTTGCTTGCTTCAGTAAGTTTCTTCTGAAATTTAATTTTCTGAAAACGTCACCAAACGGAATATGTTATTGTTAGGATATTGATATGGCAGAATTATAAGAATTGGAAAATTTAAGATATATATATATATATGTAGATTTCGGACTTGAAAAAAGACAATCCTATCTTAAATTTCATTCAAATCTCACACAGAAACCGGGCGTCTATACTGTCAAAAAATACGAAAGTTTAAGGAAAAATAAAAGGGTCAGATTATAGTGCTATTGATAATGCATTTTGTTAATGCTATAAAGAGGTCAAAAGTCTTTCTTCACTTCGCTTCTCCAAACATTTTATCATTGCGCAAAATTGAGCGCATCAACTATCAGATTTCATTTTTCAGTAAGAAGAGCTGTATTATCTCTAAATATGATCTACTTTACTTAAGTACTATTGTCAAACTAATAAAGAAGTAGTGCTTACTCTTTTATTTTCAAGTGATAGATTTGAATTTTTAAGAATAATCTTACTTGTGTATGGTGGATTCAGGAAGGAAAACTGGCACTTTCTCAAATGCATCAATGTTGGAACATTTAGCTAGCAGTAATAATTCCTTTTTAAGATCGAACGAAAAATAGCCGTAAAGGTATGGTGAAATTGCAGAATTAAATACAGCAAATGTGTAGAGCAATTTTCGAATAATAGCCGGTATGGGGCTAAAAATTTTCAGCTAATGTATTTTCACAAAAGAAGTTCCAGAGAATTTTCAAAGAAAATTTCAAAATATGAATTTGAGAAAAAAGACTCATGTGAAGTGCATTGCAGGATTAATTCAAACCAGTTTTTTCTATCTTTTTTTTGGATTTTTTTCTTCTGGATCCGGCAATATAACTGATTTATAATTCAATTTTTTTTAAATGGAAAGAGCACTTAACCTTGGTTTTATCGTGAAATGAACTAATGAAGCAACAGCATAAGGTGTCCAGCACAACAGAAACGCAAATACTACCACAAATGTCATCTTCAACGTTCTACTTTTGGCACGACTATAAGTTTCAACAGAACTTCGTAGCCTCGTTCTTGAGGAATTAGTAGGCCTTGAACTCGATTCTAAAAAAAATTTTCATTCTTTTGTTTAGAAATTTGGAAAAAAAGCAGGATATAGTAAGGTTGATCGAGACAAAGGACTAAATGATGTCAAATAAATTATTTCTGTGCAAATCATCGAATGCTAAAAATTCTGCAATTGCTGAAAGGACGAAATGAATTAGCTTCTTGTCTATAAATTCATCAATGGGAGAACTGTGAATTATCTTCCAATGAGAAAAACTGCAATCAATCCTTGATCTGATGATGTCTGAACTTGATTGATCTTATATTCATGAAAAATGACCACATGAATGTTACATTTTACTATACATTGCTTTCTATAAATTATCAAATCGTAACAATTCACTTATCCAACTAACGCGTTTCAAGTATTTCAGCTTCAGTTTTGGAAGAGATTTTATATAATATAAACGAATAACAGGCAACCGTTATTATTAGCGGTAATAAGGAAACCTGAAAATAAAAAAATTAGAAGCTAATTAAGAGGAAGTAATCCAAATGGATCAGCCAATTAAGTCAAAGTTAAATCAAAATAAGTTAAAATGAAACTGACATTAATAAAATTAACATGACAATTATATATCTTATAAATATATTAAGAAACAAAATCAACAAATAAATATGTAAACATCGATTAAAAGTTTATTGAAAATTCAGAGACAATCCAATTCCACTTTAAATTTTCATTTCGTGCCAGGCATTGGTGCTGAAAAATTTCCATTGTCGCACAATTAGCAAAATTTTTCTTCCACACTTTATTTTTTGAGCACAAATTTTCTTTTCTTTTTCCACAGATAGAAAGTATCAAATCCAATGAAAAGTTTTTACTACAAAAATATATCATATAATGCTTAAAAATTTGAAGCAACTACAAACGAATAGTCATCTGTGTTTCATTAATAACTGAAATTAAGTTCATTCAAGTATGAAACAGTAAAATAATCGAGTTCATTTAATGTTAATTTAGAAATGAATTACAAATGTTCGACTTGAAGTTATTACTTTTATTAAGCTTACCGTACACAGTTTAACTGATATGGAATTTTAATTGAAAAGCTTCCTCTTTCAATATATCATTTCTTTTTGTCGCAACATTTCACATTTTTTGCATGTTGTGTGAATTAATTATGGAAAAATCTAACCAGTTAAGCTAAGCGTTTTTATCAATTTCAGGTGAATATATTGGCCTGAATTGGTAAAGGCGCTTAACATTTGATAGCCAAAATTAAGGCGCTTTTGAATCGATTAATCAAAATGCATTAAACAAGCAAATCTAAATTTTAATGAATTGGACTAATGATTTGTATGTCATAGCAGAGAGTATATAATATTTGTGCAATTTCAATCCCTGAGGGAAAAGCATTCCTTAATTGCTATTTATTAATAAATACAGATTTTGAAACAGCGCATATTGCAAATAACCAAACAAACCTGTGTAAGATTAGCTACCGTATAAGCGAAAACAGCATTATGTGATACAGCGCCGATGAAATCACCTGATACACATTGTGTAAACCATTCTGCACATGGATGAAATGATGTGCGGAATATGGCAGCCTAAAATCGAGCAAGTAAAGTATTCTTTTTTTAAATTTTGTTATGAGAAAATTTAAATTCAATTAATTTTTCTTTCGAGTTGAAAAATTGGAGAAAATAATTTTATTCTTCGTCAGGCATATCTAGCAACATAGATAGACTTCAAAATTAATCGCTTGATTTTGTTCTTGAACAAAATGAAGAAAGTTAAAAAAAACAAAATAAAATTGAAAGTTTAAAAGAGATCAAATAATTTAGCTTAAAAAGATTTCTTATATAACCATACCGCGGGAACACTTATCAAGAAACTGACAATCCAGGCGATCGTTATCATCCATTGTACTGATTTTTTGGCATTTAATGTATACAAAGGCGAAAATATTGAATAAAATCGATCGAGACTTATGCAAATTAACATATTTGCCGCTAAGCTATTGCCAAAATTGTCGAAAAATTTGCACATTCTGCAGAGCTGCAACATTGTAATTTCTAATACTTTTGCAAAGTATAAAGATGATATTCGTGTCCAGCTGTTGATTACTTGACAGAACTTTCAACTTAATATTTGGCCTAAGGTGACATTCAAGATGATACACCTTACAGGTTATTCATTTCATTTCTTTTTAGTAAGAAAGTGGTTTTTCTGGCGAGAGCGATACTAATAGAAAGCAAAAATAAATTATTTGCAATTTTTGTTTGATTTTGAATAATTGAAAATCAGAAACTAACGAAATCACCGCCCCACCAAGCGACTGTTATGCTATGTATTACTTCTTTCGGCATATAAATTAATGTAACAATAAGATGTGCAATATTCATATGCAGCAATAACGTATATACTCGACGAACTTTGACACGTTGGTTCCTGGAAAATATTGTCTTAAGCTTTTGTTGAACGATTACACAATAAGAATTCACTTACCAATTTTAGAATTCACGTAAATATCTTTACCTGATCAAAATGAGAAACATCGTACCATTACCGATAAATGCGAAACAGAAGCAAATGGAATAACAAATGAATGTAAAATAATGCATGGAAGTTAATGTTGACCGAGGATGTGACCGAGGGTCTGAGCAGTTCAGTGACATCTTTTCTAACTTCTTCCACCTTTATTCACCTACAATTTTGATTTGCCACTGATTTCTGAGACTTCTTTTTTATGCATAATGATTGGGAAATCACTGCTGCTTGAAAAATCAATGACAAACATAGAAGGAGGAAGAATATGTCAGAAGTAAAAGCTATAATTCAAGCGCATTCCGAACAATCTTGAAATTTGATCAAAAGTCAAGACTGAAAAATGCAAAGGAACATGTCATAGTTGTTCCATAATATATTCCTGATTTTAATTGAAAGATTAATATCTAAATCTAAGCACGCTGTAAGATACAGGTTTAGTTCGAAAAATCTCCTTTCATTACCTTCTCAACAAATTCATACGTATCATTAAAGGATTGTAAGAAATTCGAATATTTAAAAATTCATCAATGTCATTGCAAATCGCTATGAATTTTGAAAACTCTTGATTATTTTCTAATAAAAGGTTGAAAATTCATGCATTCTTACACCATTATTTAAATTTTACTTTATTTTCAATCACACTAAAATGAAATCTCACGAAGCTTTATTCATTCGATCGATCAGTATCAATTAATGAGAATTATGGCACTAAAAATCGTACAAAAAAAACATTTGCTAAAATGCAGAACAAATAAAAGAGAACTGTGAACGATGCGGAAGTAAATTTGTAAGGCAAAATTTTATTTCAGATGAATGTGTTGACAGGAATTCACAGCAAGGGAAATGGAATGATGAGATGAGATAGCAGCAGTTCCATTTGTTATGCTTTATTGCGACCATTTTCCCATTTCCCAATTCACTTGGCATTTTATGCCTGATTTTGGAGGTGCATTTTATAACTGACTCTTCTTAGGAGGATTGGAATTTATTCGCATATTTCATTTGGGAACAGAACAAAACAAAACTGTAATATCACAATGACATTTTATTTCCAACCATTTTTCATTGTGATTTGTTGATTATTTATCGACTTTTTTTTATTTTTTCGTTTATTTCACAAGCATATTTTATCTTTTTTTTTGTCCTATAAAGCATAGGAAGAAATTTCCGGTAAAATTCTGTTTGGATGTGCAACAAATAAGAGAAATGAAATTGATAATTTTGGAATTAATTCAGGAATTTCAAAACGAAAAAAAAATTTTGTTGTATTTTTACAAAATCGCTTCATATTTTTATATTTGCTGCCGTCGCTATCTTCAATACTTCAACAGACACTTTTTTTGAATTGAATATGAATATGGCGATAAAAACGCCTTCCTGTCCAACCATACAAATGATCATAGCTATTGCCTTCTATCCTATCAGTTATTCACAGCATTTCTTTCAGATACTTTGTGATTTCCGGTTTTAATTTATTACTTATTAAATGATTGCTTTCCATTTGCATTAAATGACATCAATACCATCTAATAATGCATTAAAAATGGAAAATATAAAACAATTTTAGTCATATAAATGCTTATTAAATGAGCCTAAAATATAGCATGAAAGACAGAGAAATTTTTGAAATTATTTTCCTTTGAAATTTACAAAGAAAAAATCGGAAAATTATTTAATAAATTTCTTTAACCGGCAAATTTTTGATAAATCGATAAATGAGCTGAATTTGAACTTCTTTCTGAACATATTTAATGAAGTCATAAATCCTGATGTAAGCGGACGAAAAAACAATTTTGCTATCAGATAAAATTTTGTTTTTTTCTCTATTCAATCTTATATCTGAGAGATTTCAATGAAAATTTAAAGGAATTTTGACAGTACGTTCGAATATCTACTTTAAATTTATCTTTTCTAACTAATTAATGATATGTAAGAAATGAGTAAGATTCACTCACTACAAGTAAACTTGTAAACTTAACGTTGATAACTTAACGTTGTAAGAGGTATTTCTAAAATATGACTTCGATTTTTTCTGAAAGTTTCTGAATTATTAACAAATTGAATTTTGAATCCTTGAACTGTCCATATGATAATGACATTAGGAATTGAAAGTTTGGAATGAAACAGCTTTTTTAGTGTTTTTACAGGTTCATCAACAAAATTTTCATTTAGAAAACTTTAAAGCCAACTTTCTAAGAGAAATTCAATTCACAAATTAATTACAAATACAATTTTGACAACACAAAAAATTGCAGATGGAATTGGCAAAATTTCAATATTTTTTTCCTAATCTTTTACTTATTACATTTAAATAAAAACTTTGCAAATTTGAGATTGAAATTAAATTATAAGTCAATGAGATGGAAAAATATGAATGCACAATTTAATTCTCCAGAAAAAATTTTATAAAATCAATTAAAAAGACTTCATCATATATCAAAAACAGAAATAATATTATAACAAATTTCTACTAGCAGTTCAAAAAGTGCTGAAACTCCTTTCAGATTCGTAGGGCATAAAAGATTTTTGTAAAACTCTCAATAAGGCATTGCTGCTCCCCAGTCCTTATGGCACTTTAAAATAACTGAGTGATAGAAGTGAAGGCGGAAAAGCGGTGATGATTATTTGGAATGAGAAAGATACATTTGCCTTCCTCCTTTGGTGATTAGAATGCGTAAGTGTTCGGGAATTCAAGAATTATTTCAAAATGAAATGTGGAATGTTAAATAAATTGACGACCATTTAATTTATTTTTAATAATTCCTAAGAAGGATGGCGATACTTCAAAATTTACTTCGTTTATTTAAAAGTTAGCAAAAACTAAATTATGAAATGAAAGATTTGCTATATTGAAATGACTAAGCTTACGCTTAATGACAACTATTCGATCATAAAACAAATAATATATCATTGATGTATTTCCAATGATTCGTCATGCCAACGCTCTCGTCAAATGCAAATTTAATTCATTAATCATTCATCGAGTACTGATTCTGTGAGATAAAATTCTTTTTATTATTTTGGTATCCAAAGAATGCTATAAAATAATTGTAAATCAATCTTTATTTATTTCGAATTTGAAAAAAAAGATTGCTTCAAATTCTAACATTTTCTAACAATATGTAATTTTTTAGGACTAAGAGATTAAATTGTAATGAAATGTGAAATTCAGGAATAACATATGCATTCTAATAAAATGGAAAATTTGTCTTTAATTCAAAAGTCAATTTTGATAACGTGATACTTTTCATATGCGAAAAAATAAAAAAATTGATTTTTGAATTAAAGATTATTTAAAATGGAGATTTGATGAACTTCTTAAATCATGCAAATGAGAATCATGCAACATTTTTCGCATTTATCTTATTCATTTATTTTAATCGGAAACTGAAACAGAGCAATTGTTTTATACATTTGCATCCCATTTCACACTTTTTTCTATTGTTTCAATTAAATTTTTGAATGAAATTATTTTGGTAAGATGAATGAGACGTATTGAGAGTAAATTATTTTGTAATTAGATAAACAATAACTTTACAAAAGATTGCAACTATTAGTTGTAGTACGAATTTTCATTAAAAAATACATGGCGCATTCTGTCTCCACTAAAATAACAATAATATCTGTTATTGGATGTTTGTAAAAAAAATAATTCGCAAGAAATATTGGATAGAAACCCATTTGTCATTATGCTTTCTGAAATAATTATCATATTTGATTTAATTGTTAGTAACTCGGCTATATTCCCACCAAAAATGGTCATGATGGAGTCAAATTTTCTATTTTATTAGAAGACAATATTAATAAGGTTGATTATTTAAAAGATATTTCAAAGTAAAAATTATACAGCGTTTTCGAAGAAAATTTTTAGGGGAATTTATTAATATGATCAAATTATTGTGTCTCATTAACAAAAGTAATATATGAATCAAATAATTATAAGAAATTTTGAAGAATTTTTCCGGTAGTTGAATCGTTTTAGCCTATTGCCGTAGACTATAAGCACCATTATACCATAATGTGACACTTTTTTTCCCAACAATGCTATATTGTCATTTATTGGAATGTAATTTATCATTTAAGTGAAATACTTGTTAGTTTTTAATAGCATATCGTTTTTCAATCGAACTTTCAATCAACAATGCCTTTCAAAAAACATTTTAATTTCTGAGCACTTCACTTCACAACAAAAGGAAGTACTTTCCATGCGGAGATTGCTTTATAACACTTACGTCATCTAATGTGACATCTTATTATGTAAAACAAATGCATTAACAATTAACTCAAGTTAAAGGAAGTAAACTCCAAACCATTAAACGAATAAGCCATCAAATGCCAAATCTAAAGTTTAATTACAATGTAGATGTGTGAATGATGGATTCACTTCTAATTTGTTGTAATAAACAAAAATGCCTTTCTCGATCATAATTATATACTACATTGGGTTTTTTACTGAGTTCAATGGTTTGGAGACAAATTTTTATTTCACAGTAGAATTAGTTTGTACCTTATCAAGCGTAAAGTAATTCTATTGTAAACATTTTGATAAATAAAATTAGCCTAGCAGAGCAATTAGCAATCTGTCTATCTGCAAAAAAAGATGAATTAAAAATCGATGAGAAGAATGTAGCAACTTTTTTAAAATAGTATAAGAGTTAAAATATCTTACACAAATTTCAATTAAAATTATATTCTTGGCAAACTTTGGTTCGTTTACGAGCATTATTGCACTTTTTTAGGATGAATTGTTTTAGCTTTCATAATGTTTGAACAGTTGAGCTTAAATGAAGAGAATATAATTGAAGCAGTGATAGTGAAATTAGTTTAGCAAGCAGATGAACAAAGGAAAATATTTATGTGAAGATCCCTAAGCAAATAAGTAATGTCACAAATGAATGAATGTAACGTAAACAAGGAAATAACTGGCTAGACTAAGCAAACAAATAATTTTGAAGCAAATCCCATTTCAAAACAGCAAAAAAAAATGTCTGTGGCGAGAGTGACCAAAATGACCAGCAATCATAAATCGTTTTACGTGACAGGAAAATGGACTGATTTTAAAATTAAAATTTCTAATTCTGTATGAAAAATATGTTTCCATTTAGACCAACAAATTTGTAATATTTCA